GTACTCGGCTCTTAGTGAGGAAACCAACCTTAGCGTAGATACAATGAATGATAATCTGACGAGTATCATTACGGAGTGTGCAGTGGAAGTTGGAGGCAGGCTAGTTAGACAAGACACTGGCAAGCTTTCCCAGGAAACGAAGAACCTAATTAAGAAGCGTCAAATCATGAAAGTCTCAAGTACAACAGACAAAATAGAAGTGGCAGAGCTTTCGAAGTTGATTAATAGGCGTAAGGTATGCGATGTAAGAAGGTATAATATGGAGAGAATTGAACACGCTCTGAAAAACGGAGGAAGCGTCAAAGCAGTGAAGAGGAAACTTGGTATAGGCAAAAGTCGGATGTATGCACTAAGGGACAAAGAAGGCAAAATACCTACCAATATGGATAGGATAGTTAAAATAGCGGAGGAGTTTTACAGAGATCTGTACAGTAGCCGAGACAACCACGACCTTAATACTATAAGAACTAGCAGTAACCCAGATGACACCCCACCAGTAATGATAGAAGAAGTCAGAAAAGCTTTGGAGAGCATGCAAAGAGGCAAAGCTGCTGGTGAGGATCAGGTAACATCAGACCTGCTGAAAGATGGAGGACAGATTGTGTTAGAAAAACTAGCCACCCTGTTTACGAGGTGTCTCCTGACGGGAAAGGTACCAGAGTCTTGGAAGAACGCTAACATCATCTTAATACATAAGAAAGGAGATGATAAGAACTTGAAGAATTACAGGCCGATCAGCTTGCTCTCTGTAGTATAAAAGCTGTTTGCAAAGGTAATTGCTAACAGAGTAAATAAAACATTAGAATTCAATCAACCAAAGGAACAAGCACGATTTAGAACAGGCTACTCAACAATTGACCACATTCATACTATCAATCAGGTAATAGATAAATGCTCAGAGTATAACCAACCACTATACATGGCCTTCATAGATTACGAGAAGGCGTTTGATTCAGTAGAAATATCAGCCGTCATGCAAACACTGCGGAATCAGGGCGTATATTAAGTATATATAAACATTCTGGAAGAAATCTACAGGGGATCAACTGCTACCATAGTGCTTCATAAAGAAAGCAACAGAATACCAATTAAGAAGGGTGTAAGGCAGGGGGACACAATCTCCCCAATGTTATTTACCGCGTGCTTACAGGAGGTTTTCAGAAGCCTAGAATGGGAACAGTTAGGGATAAGACTCAATGGAGAATACCTTAGTAACTTGCGCTTCGCCGATGACATTGCATTGCTGAGTAACTCAGGGGACGAATTGCAACTCATGATTACGGAGTTAGACAAGGAGAGCAGAAAGGTTGGCCTTAAAATTAATCTGCAGAAAACGAAAGTAATGTACAACAACCTCGGAAAGGAGCAGCGCTTCGAGATAGGTAATAGTGCACTTGAAGTTGTAAAAGACTATGTCTACTTAGGGCAGGTAATAACTGCAGAGCCTAACCACGAGATTGAAGTAACTAGAAGAATAAGAATGGGGTGGAGCACATTCGGCAAGCACTCTCAAATTATGACAGGTAGATTGCCACTATCCCTCAAGAGGAAGGTATATAACAGCTGTATCTTGCCGGTACTTAGCTACGGAGCAGAAACCTGGAGACTTACAAAGAGGGTTCAGCTTAAATTGAGGACGACGCAGCGAGCAATGCAAAGAAAAATGGTAGGTGTAACCTTAAGAGACAAGAAGAGAGCAGAGTGGATTAGGGGACAAACGGGGGTCAAGGATATCATAGTTGAAATAAAGAAGAGGAAATGGACATGGGCAGGGCATGTAGCGCGTAGACAGGATAACCGCTGGTCATTAAGGGTAACTAATTGGATTCCCAGAGAAGGGAAGCGGGTTAGGGGGAGACAGAAGGTTAGGTGAGCAGATGAGATTAAGAAGTTTGCGGGTATAAATTGGCAGCAGCAAGCACAGGACCGGGTTAACTGGCGGAACATGGGAGAGGCCTTTGTCCTGCAGTGGACGTAGTCAGGCTGATGATGATGATGACTCCCTTCATGTATTTGCAGTCGTCATGTTGGAATACATTCAGGGTCGTTGGTAGGGCTAGCGCCCAACGGGCAATAGCCCCCAAGCCAGTTCAGCCTTCATAAAACATCATACTGTGCTTTTAAGTCTTGAAACTCGGGATAAAATTATTAATCATGTCTAAGGCATCAAACTTTAAAGTGCAACGAAAACTGATCACACATGGCGCGCAGAAAATTTGGCCTCTTTGTTGAGTCGAACCAGAACTTGACAGGACAGGAAAGGGTGAAACATGAATCAAGGAGCACCAAAGCACGATATGATCAAGCATTATGAAATACAGAGGTGCACAACTTATACGTTGAATGCGATGTGTGTTACATATCTATTTCTTTTATACGCTACGAAAGAAGTTAGAAACTATATTTCGCTGGTCTACAAGAAGCGCAAAAGTTGCCCCTGATAACATGCTTCACAGAGAGAAAAAAGAAACGTGTACACTGTGGTTTTCTTGCACACAGCTGGAAACAAAAAATAAAGAAAACAAAGAAACGAACACGCACCAAACACCACACGCAAAAGTTAAGCGATCCGCTTGCGCAAGTGAGATTACTTGTCGCTTTTCACGATAAGATACGTCCTCGACGCGCGTTCATTCAAAACTTATCACTTCCATGTCACGGATAGTTTCAGTCTGACGTAAAAGGGAGGCAGCGACTTCTGCACGCCACGCGCAAGCAGTTTTGTTTTCATCCTTCAAATTCGATGAGGGATATCTCACATTACGTTCAACTTTTGGGATTGATAAAAGAGGCATTTGCTATAAAGTGGTGCGTACTACAACTTTTTATTGTAAACATCTGCCCTTAAGTGTGATATTCAATGTCAATGAACCAGCTTTTATATATCAGTCACGTCAATGTCGCTTTAGTTGCGAAAAAATATTACTGCCCTGGCATAGAGTGCGTGTGACAGAGCTACATGAGCGCGACTAATATACAACTCTAACGGCAGAGAGTTAAAGAGCTTGTTTCGTAGAAATTATGCTGCCTACGTTGGTGTCGGCGCTGGCGTTGTTCGTTGTTAGCGAAAAATGACCACCTCGTTCGTGACCGAAGAATCTGGAAAGATGCAAATATAATAAATATTAAAAAATTTGGGGTCAGAACGAGAGTCAAACCTACGCCATCATCGTGGCCAGCAGCTGCTCTATCGAATGACCACAACATTGGTTGAAACTGCTTTGAAAAAAAGAACACTACGTGAATGGCATGTCATGTAGTGTAAGGAGTCTCTTTAACGCATCACATATTGCCTGGCAGAAGCGTAGAATCAGACCGGGTGTCAAAACTTGTGAACTGAGCAACGAATCAGTGTTTTAGAGGCCCAACCATACAATATGCTTGAAAATATTTGATCATCATCAGCGATAGAACGATACAAGAAAGTGAACACCTGTGCAGCTTGGCGTAGTGTCTGCTGACGCTTAGTCGGTGCTTCTCTGATTCGTTAAAAGGAGTAACTATGGCGAAGTGGGCACTTAACGTCTGTGCTCGCAGTAGGCATTCAACGATGCCAGTGTTACACGCACAGCAGTTCTTCAGTTTTTGACCGCATGGTTGAGGCATACACCGAAAACCGAAGCAGGCTAGCAGTTCAGGTAGTGATGCATATGAGTCCCGATTACGCTATCAAGATGTGCTCTTAAAAGCGAAGCTTAAGCATATTGAGTCTTCACCGAAAAAAAATGAGCTATTTGTAAGCATGCGTTCAAGAAGGAGGCTCAAATAGATGGTTTTAAAGTTGCAAGCGCTCTACCCCAAAAAACTTCCCGTCACCTCGTTTAACAGCTCCTCACATCGAAACTGAAAGCACATTCCTTGCAAGGGTAAGGAAAGTTTCTCGTTCATTTTCCACATAAAAGAAACGTTCGTGAAGTACAAGGGAAGCTTTTATAATTTTATGTTGCTCCAAGGAACATATATTCGAATATATATTGCCAAATAAGGGAACAAAACTTTAGAAAATCAGCGGGCTAATTTTCAAAGCTCTCGTTGTCCACCAATTGGATTGGATTGGATTCTATAAACTTTTATTTGGTCCTCCAAAACACAAATCACTGTGTTGTGGGCCGCTCCTACGCGGGGACTGAGATGCCAAGCTCTTCAGCTGCCTGGTGGGCTTGGTGGACAGCACAGAGCATAGATTACTTGGATACAGGTCAGGGTATACATGTTACTCAGGCACATCAGTGAACTAAACCGGATGTCATCAAGGGCCTGTGTTTGTAAACAGTGAAGAGGAATTTTTTTTACAACAGTAAATAGGCCGGCACGTTACTGCTTATAATCGGCTCTAAATTGGTGTTATTATAATGCAGTGGGATCTGGTGTGTGAGAAACTATGGACGAGAGGATTGTTTCACACAGCCGCCATGATCGGAATGCTTGCGGGCACGCTGGTTTCGTCCCTGGGAGACAGGTGCGTATAGACCAGAAATATGTCTCGGGCTCGACTCTGTACTAACACGAGGTTGCTAGTTTAATATCCTGCTTCAGTTCATTTATCGATCAATCGAGGAATGAATCGATCAATAAATCAATCAAATGGTTGGTCAGGTAACTAATGAAGGATTGGTTCAAGTGAATGAATTAATGCACGTGATAATGTATCATTGTATCAATAAAGCAATCTATTATTCGATCAATCAATCAATATGTCATTCGGTCCATTTAATTTGTGAATCAAGCATACATACGATCATTCAAACTGTTACCGACTCCTTCAAATAGACCAGTTGGGCATCGCTAATTGAGAATAAGCACTGTATGTAGTCCTTATGGCACACTTGTAAACGAACAGATATAAAGCAAGGTTTAGGAAAAGACCCATTCTGATTGCACGACTTGCGTAACATCGAGTAAGGTCCAGCCGGCGTAGGTGATACACAAAGTGGTGGTTAGTAATTGGCTGAAACCTGGTTCATCTTGTCTATCCTATACGCAGACTGGGCCGAAGACCGATGGTGATCGCGGGCTACGTTAGCAGCTTCGTCGGCAGCGTCTGCATGGCGGTGGCACCGTCGTTCGCACTGGCCCTGCTTTGCAGAGCAATTTTGGGACTTGGATTAGGCCTGGCTATGACTTCCTCCTTTTGTCTCCGTGAGTCCTTACTTCACTTTTGGAGCGATTTTCGAGCTGAGATGCTCTTTCAGCGTAAGGTGGACAAGGCAAAAACAAACGGTTTTGTTAAATGGCAACCCAACGATTGCGATAGCAACAAATAGGTTAATGAAATAACGCTAGCATAAAACTTTTATGTATCTCATCTAACGGTACTCGCCCGTCGACAAAATGTTATTAAGGCGAATAAGGTCGCCCCAGAGTCAGAAGCCGTTTTCGTGCTGTCAGTTCTTTGACTGCGAAGTAGGCTTCGAGAACTAATCAAGTTTTTTCTGCTGTATCTTGGCGTCAGTCGAAAGGCTGTGCACGACCACGCCCTTCGACAAATGCAGCCCACTACGTTCCCTGTCTACGCTTGTGTTCCTTTAAAAAAATCGCAGTATATCCACGGAGTCACGGATGATCAGTCGGGCGAAGCTTCTAATGGTTTTTTCGGCAAACCATGAATCATCCACTGGCCGCATCTGTCTGTCTGTCCATCCGTCCGTCCGTCTGGAACGTCTGCCTGCCTGTCCGTCCGTCTGCGTGTCTGTCTGTCTGTCTGTCCATACGTCTGTATATGCGTTCATACGTCCATCCATCCATCTAGTGAACACTCCACGTACCACCACCTCGCTTCTTTTTATCATATACAAGTACTGCCACCCAGAGGACAATTCAAGGACTAAAACAAAAGGTAGCTACTACATACCAGAGACGCACGACCCACGCCTGAAGAATCTGATTTGATAGATATGTGGGGTTTAACGTCCCAAAACCACCATATGATTATGAGAGACGCCGCAGTGGAGGGCTCCGGAAATTTCGACCACCTGGGGTTCTTTAACGTGCACCCAAATCTGAGTACACGGGCCTACAACATTTTCGCCTCCATGAGAAATGCAGCCGCACAGCTGGGATTCGATCCCGCGACTTGCGGGTCAGCAATCGAGTACCTAAGCCACAAGGCCACCGTGGCGGGGCACGCCTTAAGGAGCTTCGTCCCTAACAATCAGCGTATATTGCGCCTCGTGGGAATCGGTTCCGTGCGATGCACCCGGTGATTAATTGTTTAAGCTGAATTTGTTTGTCTTTGAGGCAAGTGTTACGAGGTGGATCGACTCGTGCACTATTAGAGGGCGCATCGTTCATTTACTATCAACGTGTACTACACTGGTGTCTACTGGTGACAACACTTAGTATTGCTATGGTCAACGCTATGGTCTGACAACGCTATGGTCCAGCATGTCCTGAACACTCAGGGTAAAACAAATTCATCAGTAGTGTCGAAGCCAAATGCGCTTCAAGCAGTGGCGATCTGATCATCACATGTAACTTAGGTTACCGGACTGCCCTGGGTCAATCAACACCCTGATATAGCTTACTGAATCATATGAATAAAATGCATTTTAATTAAATTGTTATAAACGTACAGTCAGCACTAAAGCCACGAATGACGTTTACCCTGTTCGACGTCTCTATTGCAGGTTTTTATTATGGAAATTGATTGCTTTGTTCTAAAATAATATAGCGAGAACTGCAACTACAATTGAAGTTGCACTGACTTTAAGTGTCTTTTTTCATAGCGTATTTTTCATTAATAGTGTCTTTTTTCCAAAACATTGTAGTCGGCATGATTCTGCGGCTGAATGCTTGATTACCAAGTGAGACGCTGTGGTTTGATTCCTGCTGGCATCGCGATTGTCTTTCTTTTCAATTGTGGGGTTAACGCTGATGATGTCAATTTATCTAAACTTGAGTTACTGACGTGCTTGATTGACTGATATGTGGGCTTTAACGTCCCGAAACCGCCACATGGTTACGAACGCGCTTTTTCACCATCCCAGAGTGGATATGAATTGGCAACAACCAATGGCGCCTATCCGCGCATACCATAGTCTGTGGTATACGGGCCTGTGCCACAGGTGTCAAGAGGAAAGTGTTTGAGAACGTCACAAAGTGGCTGACTGGTATAGTTGGTAGTGCATACTTAAGGTTAACCGCGAGAAACGTTTTCTGTCCACTGTGTGTTATTTTCGCGCTGTTAACGTTAAATTAAACAAGGTACGCGACAGGATGTTCACGTTATTGATGTGATGACCAGACACTCATATTCCTGAACCACTCTTACCCTTCCATGGCAATTTCGGTCTACAAGAAGTTCATGAGGTGACGACGAGAGCTCGCAGACGTAGGTGGCTACGTAGGCACGTAGATTTAAACTTTCAAAGAGCATGAAGATTGTTAAGTAATCGTCCGCATTTATTATATGCGAAGCATTTCTTAGTGAACTTTGGCGTCTTTGAGCGTATCTATCTATCTATCTATCTATCTATCTATCTATCTATCTATCTATCTATCTATCTATCTATCTATCTATCTATCTATCTATCTATCTACGACTTTTGGGTTTGCTAGTCGTTTCGATAACGGTATCTATATCAAAATTGGTATACCGTAACTTGACTGTATGACAAGCATAAGTGGATGGTAATAACATGAAAATCATGACATGTATGCCATGAATGTCATGATTTACATTTCACGGTCTTGCTACTCTTCAGGTGGTTTTGTTCACACGATATGTTGCAAAACAGGTGTGGTATGACATGACTGCACGGCCAATGCGTGAGACAGACCCTAACATGAAAATGATGACATTCGTGTCATGTAACAGCATGACTACATGCCACACTTATGATGCACTCATGGCCGTTTCGCTAGCTTCGCATATGCCAAATTTGGTGTTACGCGGCGTCAATAAATGACGAAGGCTTGTGACTGGTGCAAACATGATAATCATGACACGCGTGCCATGTAATAACATGACAACATACTACGCTCATAGCGCTCGCGGCTGTTTGGGTAGCTCAACATATGCCAAAGTTGGTATTACATGACGTTAATATACGACGAATGTAAATGACACCTCCCAACATCATAATCATGGCATGCGTGTTATGTAAATCTTGACTACATGCTACGCTCATGGCACGCTCGCGGCCGTTTCGCTAGCTCCACATGTACTAAATTGGGAGTCAGGTGACATGAATGGGTGACCTAGGTAAAAAAAGGCACAGCTTGCCGCAAAGGTGAAGCAATGAATGCGATAGCAACAATTTGAAAAGTCACGCACAGAATGGAAAGCAGATCGAAACGTGTCCCGTGTTTCTCGCGCACATATTACGCGCGAAACGTACTCACAAGTATGAATGCACGCGAATAAGCGTCTCATTTGTTACTTCACTGAGTCTGAAATGCGCGCGCTTTTCGCGAACGGAGACTGCAATGATTGCAGTGATGTTTGTGCGCCTACAGCAGAGTCGTTCCACGTAAAGCCCGAGGCCAGCCAAGGCGTACGATCCTTCCCTCCTCACCACCGTGAGATAAGGGCGTGCGAGGAGCGTAGCTCCCCTTCTCTAAGCCGGGCAAACTACGCGTATGGGATTAGAGCGGGCGCCGCTGCGTGATGTGGCGTCATACGCTCATTGCGCCATCTTTCTTGTAATGCCGAAAACACGGCAGCGGTAAGTGGTAGATATATATAGCTTGCTGTTTGACTGATAAAGAACGTTATCCGGGGTGGTATTGTTGATACTCTCAATTTTTTGAAAGCCAGGTTTAGCTTAGAGTATTTGTATACTCTTCACAAAACAAATTTAACCGCTGCACTTGTGAATGACCTTTTCCCCGAACCTGTTTATCGAAAGCCATATTCGCTTTTGCCTGGTCACGATGTATTATTTTGTGTACGTATAATGTGGATATCTCCTTCAGTGAAAACATTTTCCTTTAAATTGCACACTTCCACGCTGCCAGTAAAAACGTGGCTGAATAAAAAATCAGTATACGTACCCTGGACAGTGAATTGTAGACTCTGCAACTAACCTGAGACTATAGAGCATTGTTTTATTTAATTGTCGTGACGCTTTTTATTTTTCGGACATTCAAAAAAGAACAACAAGAAAAGAACTTCCAATCACATCTCATGGTATTAGGTTCCTCCCATTCAAAAAGAGTCCGACTGATAATACTCCTTATGACCTGTTTATGTTGTTGAGACTTTATTCACTATGGAAAAGTCGCATGATTGATAGGCACGCCATGCAACCACGGTCAACAAGTTCTGTCTTCCGAGAAGCAGCTGCTCAAGTGCGCAGTGTAGTTGAGACTTTTGGCCTCATTCCGGGGTGGCTTCCCGTTCTTGACGCTTGTGTGTGTTTGCCTGACTTCTGATCAAGTATGTTGTGTGTACTTACTCATGGTAATTTCATTCATTAAATAAAAAAAAATCCGCGGTGGCTCAGTTGCTAACGTCTTGCTTTCACTATGCAGAAGTCCTACGTTCGACTCCACGCGCCGAAGTGTTTTTTTTCCTCGATTTTTTTTCTTTCTTGCGTTTTTACATATATAGATACGTATACATATACGGTGCATGGCATCCACGCCGACGCCAGTAGCAAAATTCAGCCGAGAGTGTCCATATAATTGCTATCGCACACGTCCAAACAATGATATTCATGACGTGGAACTCAAGTAGGGCATAATTTATTTCTGCCTCGTAGCGTGCCGATTTTAAAGTGACATATCAACCTGTCTCATTTGTGCTTCGCATATTGTCGATTCCCACTGTAGGGGGGATCTGCCAATTTTTATGGGCGGGACATTTACTCAGCTTGTGGAGTAACCGATGGCCGGCCTCGCCAGCCGGTGATTTTTATCGTATTTTAAACGCGAATGCCCTTTTTAGTCGGGCTATACCAGGCATCCGGCGTTGTCCGCAGCGTCCGCTGGCCGGCAGGTGTTATCTCTCTGCTCTCACTCCCTCTCCCATAGTTAACAACTGTGGGCGCGTGCGCTTATCCTCAAGCCTAACTCTGTAGCATGTGGTGTGAGGGAGTGTAGGAGAGGGTAGATGCAATTCTTCGCTGCTCCTTCTCTCGCCATTCGCTCTTTCTTCTCTCTCCGCCTCACACTCCCATCCGCTCGCGTCTCTCTCTATCCGGAAAAGTGTGCTCGACATGCCGCTGTGAAACGCTGATGCCGAGCCGAGATGGTGGCGGTGGTAAAAAACATTTATTTCAGAAAAAGTCTACTAGAGAGTGCCGACTTGGCCCATCGGCGTGCTAGAGTGGCAAGACCCTATTCCGGGACGCCAGTGGAGCTGGAAGCTGCCCGTGCGCGCTCCACCAAGGAGCGTTGTGCAGCCAAGGTAGAGCAGCCGAGCAGGTGCTCCTCCCAAGCTTCTCTAGTTGGGATAGGAAAAGGGGGTGAGAAAGGGACGGGATTAACTGGGCACGATGCTACGACGTGATATGTGTCGGCGAGGACATGACAGGTCGAGCAGGTGCCATTTATTTCCGGCGAAAAAGTGCCTGGCGACCGCCGGACTGATAAAGGTGTTTGTCTGCAGGCGGCGTAGCAGTCGTTCGTCCGCTTTCTCCAAACCGCGTGCGGGGTCCGGGTAGAGGCGGCGCGAAGCCCGGTAATAAGCCAAAATTTCGCGAAAGCGCGTCAGGTTGGTATTGCCAGATTCCGTCTCGGGACATGGAGGGGCAACGGCCCGGACAGGAGAAGCGCGGGCAGTGGCATTTGCCGCCTCGTTGCCGGGCAGGCCCGAGTGGCCTGGGGTCCAGACTATACGAATGGGATGAGGGTTAAAGCGCCAAGAGGCTGCCTGTAGTAGGCTAGCCGCCAGCGGGGCAATGGAACCCTGAAGGTACTGAGAACAGGCCGAGCGCGAGTCCATCAGGATGGTGCGTGAGGCAGGGTGAGAGGCGGCCAAAGCTATGGCAACCTCTTCAGCGTGCGTTACTGTGTCTGCTCGAAAGGAGAGGCCATCGACGTGTTTGCCCTCTGTAATCACGGCATCCGTGAAGTGACCCGAGGCGGAGGGACCCGAGACGTCCACGTAGAAAACACCAGGACGATCGGAGTGTCGCGTATGAAGGGCCGCGGCGCGTGCTAGTCTACGGCCAGGATGGAGGTCGGGGTTCATATTACGGGGTAGAGGTTCCACCCATAGCTTTTGACGCCAGAGCTCTGGTACCGGCTGCAGAGGGTCTTGGTCAGATATCGGGTTAAGTCCAAGTCTGTGTAGAAGACGGCGCCCTGAAGGCGTCTGTGACAGTCGATTGATTTGGTTAACGCGATGAGCTTCGCGCATCTCTGCAAAGATGTTGTGTACCCCCAGAGCCGCGAATCGGCTGTTGGAAGTTGCAATAGGTAGGTCCAGAGCGCGTTTGTATACTGAACGAAGAAGGACGTCCAGCTGGTGCTCGTGTCGACGACGCAGGCGAAGGTAAGGCAAGGCGTAGAGGACGCGACTGGTCACAAACGCGTGGGCCAATCGGAGGGACTGAGACCCGCGGAGGCCGCCGCGCTTGGTAGAAACTCGCCGTATCATGCGGCTCACCTGTTCGCTGGTGCGTCTGAGGCCTGCTATTGTGCCCTTTGGATCCAAGGACGATGTGAGGTGAAGGCCAAGAACCCGAATATTTTGTACTGACGGTACGGGCCCGGACGGAAGAAAAATTTGAGGCGGTGGTAGCGGAGAGACTGAAAGAAGAGCCGATTTAGCTGGAGAGCACTCCAGGCCGCATGAACCTGCGTAGGTGTCCACCAGAAGGGCAGCCTTTTGCAGACGTTCTTCGATTTGCGCTAGGAGCCGGTGTTGGTCCAGATCGTGATATTGTCTGCATATAGTGCGTGTTGTATTCCCTCGACCTCGCTTAGAAGAGAGGGGAGGTTCATCATCGCCAGGTTAAAAAGCAGAGGAGACAGGACTGCCCCTTGAGGTGTACCCCGCGTGCCTAATAAGTACGGGCCGTGTTCGGTAGAATTAAGGCGAATGGAGGCGGTGCAATGTGATAGAAAGGCGCGAATGTAGATGAAAGTCTTCTGCCCGCAGTTTGTGGTAGACAGGTTAGTGAGTATAGTGCTGTGTTTGACGTTGTCGAACGCCCCGCGGAGATCAAGAGCGAGCACGGCTTTATCGTTACGGCGCATAGTAGTCGGCTCTATGATATCGTGTTGAAGCTGGAGCAAGACGTCCTGCGCCGACAGATGCGGGCGAAAGCCAAACATTGTGTCGGCAAAGTCCTCCTGGCCTCCAAGTAGGCGGAAAGGCGTTCGCGAACCATGGTTTCCATGAGTTTGCCTGCGCAAGACGTGAGATGGGTCTCAGTGCCTCAATACTACCAGACTTTGCCGATTTGGGAATGAATGTCACGACCGATGTGGTCCATTCCGTTGGAAGCGGAGAGCCGTCCCATATCGAATTTATAAGGTGGAGTAGCGAGAGGTGTGCTTTGTCGAGAAGATTTGCCAGGAGCGATACTGTGATTCCGTCGCGTCCAGGGGCCGTGCCCCATCGCCTTTTCGTGAGTGCAAATCGTAAATCAGAAAGCGTGTATGGGGCGTCGAGGTTGGTGTTAGGGGCGCCGGAATACCTATATGCTGGGCCTGCGGGATCAATTGTGCGGCAGTTGTAGCGGTCACAAAGTTGTCGTGCGAGTTCATCCGTAGTGCCCTGAAAGGCATGCAGAACACAGTGGAGCTGGCGTTGCGTTTCTGCCCTGGTGGTGGAGGGATCGAGAAGGCTTCTAAAGAGTCGCCACGCACTCTTAGAGCTCATCTGGTTTGCAGCCTTCGAACAGGTGTCTGCCCAGTTAGCATCGGAAAGTTGTGCGGAGTATGGGGCCGCCTCTGCAGTGCGCGCCTCAATGCGAGCGCGAAGTTTCCGATTACGTTTGTTGCGTTTCCAGCGTCTTATGAGCCCGCGGCGAGCGTGCCAAAGATGTAGGAGGTGTGGATCGATTGCAGGAGTCAAATTAGAAATTGCAAGGGTGCGAGTGTTCGCTTGTTTCATATGGAGAGCGTATGATGCCCACGCTGCATATTCGGTCGAGGAGAGGCCGGCGGGGAATGGTTACATTCTGAACTGAGTCCAATCGGTGAGACGGGCTTGGCCCCAGTGTTGGCGCATTTTCTGCCGCGGTGTGAACGAAATGCGGAGTAAAAAGTGATCGCTGCCTAAGGTTTTGCCTAAATTTTCCCATGTAGCATCGCGGATGTGACGGGTGAGGGAGAGGTCGGGGCATGTGTCTCGCGTGACCGAGTTGCCGGAACGTGTGGGTTGTGCCGGATCGGTAAGAAACGTCAAGCTCAGTGAGGAAATGAGCTCCTTGAGCTCTCTGCCCCGGGCCTTCTCGTAGTGGTAACCCCAGTGAGGGCTGGGGGCATTAAAGTCCCCGACAATCACCAGTGGTTGTCGGGCCGCTATACGCAGCGCCCGATGGAAGAGATTCGCAAACGAAGCCCTCACAAGGCGAGGGGGACAGTACACGTTTAAGATATGTATTGATGGTTGGCCCCTCCGCTGAGACAGCACTGATATCATGCAGTAGTCGTAAGGAAGATCCAGATCGAGGTCAATCTGTATCGCCGTGTAAGCTTTATGCACGAGGAGGCATGTGGTGGTGCCGCCTACATAGGAGCAGTATCCAGAAAGGGATGGAGCAGGGCGAGATTCTTGGAGCGCCAAGACGGCCGGCTGAGAGCCAAGTGAGCTGAGGAAAAGGGAAAGATGTGGACGCTTTCGCCTGTTCCCGAAGCCTCCAGGGTTTCACTGTATGATCTTGAATTTAGACGCAATGTTTGAAGAGGACGTACGATTGGTAGCCATCGTGACTGTCTTAAATTTTATATTTGGTCCTCCATGTCCCGCTCGGAATCCTCAGAGGCAGGGAGGGGCACGGAGGCCGGATTGTCCGACGGCGGGGTGGTGGTAGCCACCTTACGACGACGCCGTGGAGCTGTACCCTCACTGCTCACCGAGCAGGAGCGGGAACGCGGTGCCTTGGGTTGAAACTGGGTGATTGCCCAGGCTTGAATTGCCTGGGTAACCTCTACTACTATGCGTTGGACCGAGAAGCTGGTGAGGAGGTGATTAATCGAAGCTTCGACGCGCGTGAGGCGTTCCTCTACGCGCGGGGTGCGCTCTTCGCTAGGGAGAGTTTGGTTAGCGGGCAAGAGAACCTGAGGTGCCCCAGGAGCCTCAAGAGCTTCTGGAGTAGATGTGGCACCGGTTCCGAGTGCTGGAGTGCACATGGTTGCTTGAACCGGCGGTTTAATGGGAGCGGACTTAGCGCGAGGACTAAGCTTGGACGTAGCTGGTGTAGCCGCCTGGACAGAGGAGGCAATGCCGGATGGCCTTGCAGTACACTCTTGTTGGGGTTGAAGTCGCTTATTTAAGAGTTCGAGTTGTTTAGTTAAAAGAGAATTTTGCTTTTGAAGTGCCGCAACTTGCTGGCGAAGGGCCGCAAGTTCGGGATAAGGAGGATCGACAGAAGGGGGTGAGAGAGGCTTAGAAGCAGCTTTCCCTGCCCAACTGCTCACCTGAGGTACCGCCGCTGGGGCTTCGAGCGGTGGGAATGCTTAAGTGTTGGGAGCCGAGAAACGCTGGCATCCCACTCTTCCATCTGTTCCCTCCTCATTCTCGACTATTGTTTGGCTGGGCACCTCTCAAGGCGATGGCAGAAGTCGATGAAAGCGAATGTCTGACGGCAATGGTACCAACTCTAAGCGCAAGAAATGCATTCGCATTTTTTCAGGATTCCCTTCGAGGAGGTGGGGGCACTTTTTCTCTCTCTCTCTTTCTTTGATTCCTCTTGCAGTGATGGAGGTGATCGGACCACAGAAGAGGACAACTACCGCCGTGGCGTTCAGTCTTGGCTTCACCTTGGGTGTCGTCTTGCTACCCGGGTTCGCTTGGTTTCTTCAAGAGTGGAGGACCTTGCAGGGCGTCATCAGCGTGCCCCTGCTCGCCTTCGTCATATGGGCATGGTGAGCAAACAAAGAGAGAGCAGGGAAGCTACACCGAAACTGTTGATTTATATGTATGCCCACTTCAGCGCGAGGTCATGAAAGCACGTTCTGATGCTGCACAAGCAGTGAGCCGTCATGTAATCACTCAGCTGCGTCAGTTTGGAGAACGCTATAAACGTAATTCAAATGGTACCACGATCGCAAAATCAAAGGCAATGCATGCATGGACGCGGCTTTCGTGACTGAAGCCCATTAGGTTCTTCTCGTTTCTTGCGAGAGTTGTGAAAGCTCCGCCACGTCAAAATGGCCGTGGGAAAAAGAAGAAGAAACAAGAGGCAGCTGCGATGAAGACGAGAGAGCTCCGATCGAACTCCAGCCAGTGGATGGTAGCCGATATGAACAATTGAGAATAGATACCTGATGTTCCAGATTTCGATATGCACTCACATAAAAGTAATGGCTGCTGTTGGATGTTATATCATTGACGTTGCGTTTAATAAATGTCAGCCTGATTACTGAGCTTTCTGCGTCGTTTTAGGCTGCACCAAGATCGAGTAACACTCTCGTTTTTCTTCCGAGCACTTCCGGTGAAGCGTTTACTTCCGGTTTTCTGAATATTCGGAAGAAGAATGTTTTTACTATTAGTTCAGACTGGTACAAAATTGGTGCTCGTGATTCAAGTTAAGTGTTAATTTGGATACGTGCACTCTGCGCACATACGCTTTGCTATAACAAGGGCAAATCAACTGTAAGCATGATTCATAAAAGGGAAAAATAGTTGAATTACTAGAAGTAATCTAATCCTTAACTTAGGGAGCAGGTAGTTTCCTTGAAGCCAGTTGAGATCTTTAGATCAAATACGAAGCAGATCACACCCACGTGCATCTACCTACATAACCTCTGTCTGACACCCACTGCGGCTGCGCGTGAAAGACGTAGTTATTGTATAGGTCACGGTTACTGGGTGCTGACATGCAAGTTCTGTTACCCGAGTATTTCACTTGTCTACATTACATTTTCTTTTTTGAAGAAACTATAGTCTATTTAGGAATATTTCTACGCAAAAACTTTGGTCTGTCTCTGTTTCTATTCACCTGTGTGTCGCACGATTCAACCGCTTCCTCAACGCCCGACAATCTTGATACGCTGGCAGCATTCATGCTTGTGAAGATTGTCAATCGATAAGCAAGTATTATGCATATTTGAGGTAAACGTCAATGCGGAAGTATTAGTGTGTTTGTTTATTTCTAAAATGCATATATACTTAAACCCAAATACCACAGTGATTAATACACTGCACTGGCAATGCCATGCTATGAACGGAAAAAATGGGTGTTTCCTACGTTCCACTATAACGACACGGTGCTGCCACCTACCTGTAGCTTTGTGTTCTAGAGAAACTTTCGTTTGTTGAAATTACTGCCAGATGGCATCCATAACACACGCTACGTCTACCAACCGATCTTCTTGCACATAACGTCAAATAAACATTGTATTCACTCTCTCTCTCCAGACAGAAGACTTGCCTTTCGACGACCTTTCCCCGCGATGCACGCAGGTAAACGGACAATTTTTGTTTCTTTGCAGGTATCTCCCCGAGTCTCCTCGATGGCTAATAGCCGTCGGAAAGATGTCAGCAGCCCGCAAGGTCATACTTAAAGCCTGCTGCGACAACAGGGTGCCAATTCATAACATCGACTCTGTATTAGAACAACTGAGAAATAAGATTTTGCAGGTAAGACCCGTTGATGACTTGGGTTTTCTGCTTGGGTGTGTAGCACTCTAGGCGCCTGGTTTGTCATCCATCTACACGTCTCATGTGTTGTGATCACACTCAAAATCAAGCGTTTAGTACAAAACAACAGAGGACTAAGAAAAAGGCTCGCAACCATCATCTTTTATTTACCCTCAAAAGTAGTTTCATAGTACTATATATGAAAGGAGGGATACGAGAGCATCAATAACAGCATGTCAATATAATACATGTCATGATTACAAAGGTCAGTAAAACAGGTTCATTCATGCAAAGATAAAGAAACAGTCAAACAAATAATAAAGGTTTGAAAAATACGGCTTGATTGATCTGTGGGGTTCAACGTCCCAAAACCACCATGTCATTATGAGAGACGCCGTAGTGGAGGGCTCGGGAAATTTTGACCAACTGGGGTTCTTTAACGTGCACCCATATCTGAGCACACGGGCCTACAACATTTCCGCCTCCGTCGGAAATGAAGACGCCGCAGCCGTGATTCTATCCCTCGACGTGCGGGTCAGCAGCCGAGTACGTCAGCCACTATACCACCGCGGCGGGGAAAAATACAGCAGAACTACTTAGAATTCAAAGCGGGAAATATATTGACAATGAAGCAGCATTAAAAATGCTAAAGTTCAATCCTCAAAACAGGGTTATAATAACCAAACAAGAACTAAAATAAGGTAAATAATGGCAATCGTAGAAGAATAAGCGAAATAGTTATTTTAAAATCCTGAAAGCGTTTGGAAACATTTCGTTGACTTCGGTGACGGGCAAGATAGAATGCCGCTGCTTCAACAGGAGCGTTATTTCCTCCTTCTACTGGCACTTGTGTAGTGTGCAATCAGTGCGCGCCGCTTGGCAACTATTGATAGAAAGGGTCTTGCTGGAAAGACAAAAATATTGCCGTCTGATCATGCACAATTTTCCGACGTCATGTCCATGACAGAAATATGTCACTGAAGTCTTCGTAAACACCAGCATGAAACACTGTTCCCTCCAGTGGTGCTCTCTGACCTACTTTTCCCTCTGACTATGCACAGTTTTCGACGTCATTTTCGTGACGGAACTACGTCACTGGGGTCTTGGTCAACCCGGTATAAAACACCTCCATGTTCATATTGGCCGCGAGGGCCTCCACTAAAGAGGCCAGTGCTGCGATCGTTTTGACGTCATAGATAGGATGCATAGTTGTGGAATGTGGCAGCTTTGCTCTCGCGACACCACTTGCATATTTCCCCATGGCTGCACCGGTTCTTAGTCGCAATTTTGCGATGCAAATTAGACACTAGAGTGACACCGGGGGCACCGATTCGTAGTTTGCTTGCCCGTATTGTCGGGTCTTACCGCTTCTTTAAGCACTGGGCTTCAAAACAAAGGGAAGCACGCATAGTGCCTACAACAAAAGCGCTGGAAATACGGGGTTCTAAAAGACGACACAACCCGGCATCCTATGAATGGCGTCATCACGTAGGTGGCGTAACGGTATGTCCTCGAGGGCAATACCTCTTAAAGCGCACTACTGGGTATGCGAACCCGAACACATAGAGTTTCTCACAAATACCTATAGGGAAGCCTGGCGCCACCTTCTATGCGAATTTCTTGAGGGGCGATGTTGTAGCGCTGTGAATGATGGTATATGTATCTGCGAGGCGTGTCGTGGCTGGTGTTGAGCGAGGCTTCGGCTCAAAAGGGAATACGAATGCATAAATAAAAATTCTCTAAAAGAAAACGTATATAAGCGGATTTCAATCACGCATACTATATTCCAAAATGAAAATCCACTCATCTTAGGACGGCACAACCAAACGGCGAAAGAAACAGCCGACATAAAAGTGGCAGAAAGAACGCTCGCTTTGTCGTCTGCCTGCCAAGTTTAGCGGCCTTTGGTCACTTCTTACGCTTCGTAAAATTGTACTTCAACGTATACAAGGTTTCAGTGTTAAACAAAACATGTTTTTGTGCAACGACAAAAAATAAATACCTTATTACGAGCTCTTTTAGTAAGAAATCAATCATCTTAACGTGAAGCCAGGTGCGTCTTCGAAGTATACAAATCCGAGTCAAGTTCGAAGCTCACATATCCCGTCATTGCCTTGCATTTATCAAAGCTCACTAGCACCAGATTTTCCTCTAGGCACGGTTGTGAGAAACTCTTTACCTGAACCTGCTTGATTCACAGCGCGCTTGTTGTCTCCGCCATGGAGCACCCGTCATTATTGCTGATGCCACTAGCAAGAAAGCGGCTAACAGCAGCTTCCCAAATGATGTTTAGAGATAGAGAGAGAAAGTAAACGTTTATTTTCGAAACATTGCCCCGAGCACTGCCCGGTGTCATCCTGAGGTGGGAGGGCTCCTTAGTCCAGGAACCCTCTGGCTTATACTGCCCTCTTGGCCCTGGCCACGAGTTGTTGTTGCTCTTTCAGGTCCTTGAGGGCGAGCTACGCCTCCCACGTTTCGGTCAGGTCTTCGTTCGTCCGTTTCGCTTCATTATCAGTCGTGTGTTGCTGCAGATTACGTCTGGAAATACACTGGCATGCAAGAAGCAAGTGTTCCAGAGTACCGGACACCCTGGTGTTTAGACAAAGTGGTGAATGCACGCGCGCATTAATGTGTGTTTAGAAAAAGTGGTTTACGATTTAGAGCACTTGGTACTTTAAGATGAAGAAGAAATAATTCAGCTTGGGATAGTCACGCTGCGAATTAGTTGATGCACAGCCAGTTTAAGGTACTTGCCAATCCACCAGAAGTTCTCTGGGTGTCTCTCAGTTTCTTCGTCTATATTTAACTGGGAATGCCGAGTGGTGCAACGACAAATCATTATGGCCGGTTTTATTCAACTCGCTTTTCATCTTTCAGACGAAACATTCTTATTCCTTAAAAAATCTACAATGAGGACCGCACTTAAGTGCATTTTTGGCGGTCTAATTTATGCCGATGCTTAAAACCATCCACTGCTGCGATCAAGGAAGCTTCGACAAACGAGCGAAGTGCGGCGAACACACTTTTAAGCCAAAATACTTAGATGCCTCATATAACGCGTAAATTGACTGTCGGCGCGTACGCGAGGGATGCGTGAACTCATTACAAGATGACATAGAATACCATCAAAATTTGTGATGTCGCAAAACATCATGTCGTAACAGTACCTAATAGAGGCCAGGTTTTTGTTTCGAGGAGTACGTCATATTACATGAATGCGTTCGCAAAGATATATATATATATATATATATATATATATATATATATATATATATATATAGATATATATATATATAGTCCAGTAGATCCTCCGTGAGCGGACACAACGTTGTTTATCTCGACGTTTCGGCCTAGAGTCTGGCCTTCATCAGGATTAAGATACAGTTTGTTGTTGCTCAGCTTATACCATCTCAAATCGGAGGGCAAGAAAAAAGGAAAAAAAGACAGAAAAGAAACAAAGGAAAAAAGAAAAAAAGAAAAAGGAAAGAAAAAGAAGAAAAAAGAGAAGAAGAGAAAAATAATATACGGCGTCCACCGGCATTTAGTTCGAGGTGGTAGAGGGACCGTGTACCGTGCATTGTCAGGCACTATATATATACTATATATAGTCCAGTAGATCCTCCGTGAGCGGACACAACGTTGTTTATCTCGACGTTTCGGCCTAGAGTCTGGCCTTCATCAGGATTAAAGATACAGTTTGTTGTTGCTCAGCTTTATACCATCTCAAATCGGAGGGCAAGAAAAAAGGAAAAAAAGACAGAAAAGAAACAAAGGAAAAAAGAAAAAAAGAAAAAGGAAAGAAAAAGAAGAAAAAAGAGAAGAAGAGAAAAATAATATACGGCGTCCACCGGCATTTAGTTCGAGGTGTAGAGGACCGTGTACCGTGCATTGTCAGTGCACACCAGAAGCGTAGCCAGACCAGATGTGTGTGTGTGTGCGTGTGCGTGTGCGTGTGCGTGTGCGTGTGTGTGTGTGTGTGTGTGTGTGTGTGTGTGTGTGTGTGTGTGTGTGTGTGTGTGTGTGTGTGTGTGTGTGTGTGTGTGTGTGCTCTCTGATTTCGGGGGAGGTACCCCTTTGAAATGGACATTTTTTGCTATGCCAATAAAAAAATCTTTTCTGAGGGGCACGGGCCCGGTGTGGCACCCCTGGCTACGCCCGTGGTGCACGCTAAAGGACGCCTTCTGGAGCCCTATACTACGGCGTCTCTCATAATCACATCCCGGTTTTGCGACGTAAAACCACATACGTCTATATTTTCATTGAAATTTTGATACTGACTTTCCATTATGCCCTCAGCATGAGGAAGAGGAGGCAAAGAATAAGGCCAGCTGCTTGGAACTCGTGAGAAGCCGAAGGATGTTCCTTTACACCGGCATTTTGGTCTACGCAGCGTAAGTGACATACTGCGTATGCCTGTCTCTCGCAGTTAAGACAGTGCGCATTGATGTATCTGAGAATCGACAAAGCCACACCGGCACTTAAGCTATGGTCGAGATTCATACTTTCGCAGGTAAAACCCGTGATGGCGTAATCTCGTTAAGAGGCAGCGCTACAGCTTGTCATAGCACCGGTGCGTTGAGAAGGGCAAGCTCTCCAGCGCTGCCTCCTCTCCTTCTCCGTCGGTGAATCCGCAAGACAGACAATTTGCTTAATTGGGGCAATAAAAAAAGAGAAGAAGAAGTGATAGTGTTCTTCACGCTTCGGCCTTCCCTTGCAGTTTGGCTTTACGTGGGGGGAAGGGGGATTAAGGTTAAAGGTAGTAAATAAGCAGTTCAGGTAGTAAATAAGCAGTTCAGGTAGTAAATAGGTGATTCGGAGGAGAGGAGGGGGAGGAGGCATACTTGCTCTATAGGAGTGTAAATGCCACGCGAAAAAAATGAGAGAGAGAGAGAGAAAGGGGGGTAGCAGGCGTTGGATAGCTGACGCTACTGGCGTGGGTGTTGCGAAATGAGAGAAAGGAGGGGACGCGCATGCGTACTAAGGGGGGGTGTGGCACGCCACACAGGATTGAGCTTGACCCTAAGAAGCTTCGCATCTAAATATTCGTCAGATCTTATGTACTTTCGCAATTGATGTTAGGTGAAGTAGGGGAGGGAAGGTGAGTGTGATGTAATGTTTTAGCGAAACGCTAAGAAATGACGCTGATCGTATTTAACAAATATTGTATGCACAGACATATGTTGAACAGTCGCATGTGTTTTAAGCAAGTAGTTGTTTACAACTGTGTAACCATGCGAACGAGAACACGAGTATTTGCAACACAACAAGCGGTAAGCTGATATGTAACACACGTGCTCGCTTGGGTGATTAGCCCTGGGAAGTTGCAGAGGCGCCTCCTGGCGGGATGCCTGGGGGCCGTCACGACACGGGCTCTTTGATGCCCGCCACCGTGCGCCTACATTATGATGCGCCCGCTTCGTGCGCTGTTTCGCTGTTTGCGTTATCTTTCAGCTCGTCTCAAGCTCCAGACGAATTACGAAAACAGAATCGGTAATGTTCCTAGTATCACAATAAATGTGTACTTTTGCTTTTGCACAATCGGTTTTAGGCAACGTGAAAAGGGTGAAAAGGTCTGTGTCACGCTGCTAACCCCGATGATGGATTCCATTCCTGGGCACGGCAGCCGCATTCTGACGGGTGAGAAAAGCAAGAACACACTTCTGCTTGTATGCAACAAACTCACTGGTGCATAATAATGCGATTTTTAGACGCAAGACACAATATTGACATTATTTAGTTGTGCTGTTCATGGGTGATACCTTTAGAAAATATGAGGGTGTCCTTTATTCTAGGGTAATTTGTATCGGAGGAATCCACGTATCTACGGACAGTGTTTTCACTGGTGTGCCGTACCCCACGCTCATGCGCACGTGCATTTTTGAGTCTCGCGAAAAGTCTCGAATGCGCTCGCCCTAAAATACCACCGAAACTGTTGTCGGTTTCTTACGTGTATTTGCTCGCTCAACACGTTGTTCAGTTACATGTTTATCTCCCAATAATATTCGAGCTTTATTTCACAGAATTAATTGATGTTATGTGCGGAAATTCCTATTGTTGTCAAGTTCTGTCTTCGTGAAGAATCGTGGCAATGGTGTTGTCTCACTCCTAACTACCTGTTGAGATAATCACCTCATAAATTACCGCATCATCGAAAGAGTTCATTTCGACTTTCTGGCGTTTATAGTGTAATCGTTTCTCTCGGTGGTGCTCCCAAGTGAAATGAATATTACTGTTTGGGACGTGGCGGTGGATCAGCCCAGCACTTCATGCAAATCAAGGTATCATAATTCCCGGCCACTGTTGGGAAGAAACATGTAGGTATGATCCAAGTAAACGCACATATCCCAACTTTTCCGAAACCATTGTGTGTGCGACAGTACTACTACGTTCATTTTCCGAATATGTGAAGTTTATTCTCACAACAGTCAGATTCATGTAAGGTATCCTGCCGGAGAAAGCGCGATTGTGCTAAATCATATAGATTATTCGAGGATGCAGGCTTAACTTTCAGGGTAAAGCGCGATGCATTCAGTGAATTGGAAGCATGCTAATTTCGTTTGTCATACTTCGGCACACACATGTTCACATCCCGGAGCCCGTGCCTAGTTTTAATCACGTTAGCCCCACATAGCATTTTTCCCTAACTTTTGGTGTACGCAACGAAAACAACGATTTTCACGGTAAATCTTTCCTTCGTATGGGGGCATGCAGCACTAAGCTGAATTGTGAAAACTTTTTGAAGCCTCGATAACTTTCACTGGTCATCACTAGTCATCACAGGTTATTAACTGTTCATAATTCTCAATAAAGCTACTAACACAAAGATACACTTGGAGTGGTATCTAATCCAAAGAGTTTGCCATGTTGAAGTCCTTAGGCGGGCTCCCAGAACACTCCCTTTCCTTCACTGAACGCCGACAGTTTATCTTGCCCTAGTAAGATGACTGCTGCCACCGCAGTATTTTCGGTGGGCACGGCTTCTCTACTGAGCAAAAATTGTGACTCCGCCAATTTGTTAAAACAAGCAGGAATATAATCCCGGCGTTCTGCGTGGTACTAAATTACTCTATCACGGAGCCACGCCAAGTCTTGGAGATACTTTTTCAAATAGACCCTAACGTTCAGGAAACGACAGCTGTGCTTGCCGTGGCACCGTTACGCAATCGTTGATTGATATGTGGGGTTTAACGTCCCAAAACCACCATATGATTATGAGAGACGCCGTAGTGGAGGGCTCCGGAAATTTCGACCACCTGGGGTTCTTTAACGTGCGCCCAAATCTGAGCACAAGGGCCTACAACATTCCCGCCTCCATCGGAAATGCAGCCGCCGCAGTCGGGATTCGAACCCGCGACCTGCGGGTCAGCAGCCGAGTACCTTAGCCACTAGACCACCGCGGCGGGGCCCGTTACGCAATCGTAAACGACTGGTTGTATAAAACATATGCGCCTGCCTAACGGGTGTCTGTGCGTGCATTTTTGTGGGTAGATATTTAGCACCACTTGGTAACTTTTCTCACATTGAAAAGATTACAACACAGTCACCTTCCATCCGCACGCTTCGTTTAACTTGGATTCCCGAGGTACGTGGCATCAGCCGGGTTCTTTTTCTTTTAAGATTAACCTATTGCGTTGAGTGCTCCTTTAGAGTCAATGTAAAAAACAATACTGTTGCATCTTTCACGCAGTGCGGCGAGCGGTGTGACGTTCGATGGGCTGCAAATGTCGGTGGTAAACCTGGGCGGCGACCCGTACCTGTCATTCCTAATTGCCTCTTTGGCCGAGTTCCCAGTGGCCGTCCTCTGCTACGTGGGCATCCGATGGTGTCGTCGCCGAAGGTTCATGCTCGTCTTGTTCGGCATCATCGGCACATGCGCGTGCGGTGTGTCCGTCATGCCACCAGGTACATGAAACAATGAACATGCGCACACACTGCTATACTCGCTCTTTCAGGCAGGAGGGTACGGAGCATTAGAGGCTGCGCTTTCTAAAAACATTTACTAGAGGTTAGTCAAGGCGCTGCGATCACTCAGCCACCGTATAGGAACGATGGGCAGTACACGGACTGGTCTAGTCTTGGTGCTAGCTGGCTTCGAATGCGCTTGTTGCTTTGTTTGGTGTTGCGCTTTCGCTCTGTTTCGGATAAAACAATGAATCGTTGTGAACTTCGGGAACCAATTTGGAATTCGTGCGCCTAAAAAGGTTAGGGTGGTGAAGTGAAACTGCTGAACATTTTGTTGAACTTCGTCTTGTGGTAAAGCGGCTTCAAGCCACACGGAGCCAAGCGGAAGTAAAGGAAGGAAATCCGTGTACTACCCATCATTCCCGTGCTGGCGGAAGAACCGTGCATTGCATTTGCCATATACACTAGCGCCAGAATTCCCTTGCAATGCAATAACTCTGATGCACTGAATAAGGACTGAAAAATATGAAAAAAACATGCTGAAAGAAAAGAAAGGGAGGTAAAAAAGAAAGAAAAAAATCATAGCATATCCACGGGGTGAATGATGATGGGTGGGCGAAGCTCCTGGGGGGAAATCATCCGTAAAACCGTGACTCTTCAGTGAAAGTTCCCCACTACGTCATCAAGAAAGACGTGAGAAACACTGTGTGTGTATATATACGCGCGCTACAGCACAACGATGGCATTGGCACTAGCTTGGTCGTTTTTGACGGAAGATATTGCGACTAGACTGTTTGAGAACCACAATCTGTCGCACACACTGCAACTGCGTCCGAACGTAACGTCTAGAAAGTCTCGCTTAAACCGCGCGTCGGCACCTTGGGGCTGAGCTCGGCTGGTGCGTTTTGCAGACGCCTCACGAGCTCTCACTGCATCGGGGTCTGCCTGCCGATGCGCGCGCTTTCTCGCCGCTTCCCGTTCTTGGAGATCCTCTTCGCGCCGCAGCCGTGCCGCTTCGCGTACGGCAGGGTCCTCGCGCCGTTGCCGTGACGCTTAGTTCTCTCGTTCTCGAACGCTGGGATCTTGGCGGCGGCATCGCGCAGCCAGACGACACGCTTCGGCCTCCCGCTCTCGTACGGCAGGATCTTGGCGGCGGCGTCGCGCAGCTTCACGGAGCGCTTCTGCCTCGCGGGCTCGCACATCGGGATTCTGTCTGCGAGCACGCGCTGCCGCCGCCTTGCGCGCTCGCCGCTCTGCGGCCTTATCCATCGGGCAACTCCGAGCGCGCGCCAACAGCGAACGGATTCTATTACAAACTAGAGGTGGCCTTATCCATCGGGCAACTCCAAGCGCGCGCCAACAGCGAACGGATTCTATTACAAACTAGAGGTGGCCTTATCCATCGGGCAACTCCGAGCGCGCGCCAACAGCGAACGGATTCTATTACAAACTAGAGATGGCCTTATCCATCGGGCAACTCCAAGCGCGCGCCAACAGCGAACGGATTCTATTACAAACTAGAGGTGGCCTTATCCATCGGGCAACTGCGAGCGCGCGCCAACAGCGAACGGATTCTATTACAAACTAGAGGTGGCCTTATCCATCGGGCAACTTTAAGCGCGCGCCAAAGCGAACGGATTCTATTACAAACTAGAGGTGGCTACATACATATGCCGAAGATGGACAGACCCACGCCTTAAGGAGCTTCGCCCCTAATAGAGAGAAGTCAGTCAAGCCTTTGAAATCAACACATTTTTTTCGGACTTGATACAATTTGTATGAAACTGCCCCGATTGTTTTATTTTTGTTTTCCTAAATTTCCGCAGCGTGGGTCGCTCTTCGCCAGACGCTTGCCATCGCGGGGAAAATGCTGGCTTCCGGTTGCCTCGTGCTGGTGTGGATCTACGCGGCCGAGGTGTTTCCGACGATGTATAGAACTGCTGGACTCGGCGCTTGTTTCGTCGGAACCCGCATCGGCTGTTCCACGTCGCCCTTTTTGCTACAACTGGTACGTCCGTAGTTATCATCCGTCCTCTCTGTCCCAACGTAATTAAACACTTGAACTGTCATACATTCTCCGCTTTACTGCCACTCTGGTAGGAACATTTCAATGCGTACTAGGCCCGGGGGTGCGGCAGAAGTAAGTCTATGCACCTGTCGCAGAAAAACAGACCATTCAATTCGTCGTGCGACAAGTGTTCGTTTCCTGGGCGTCATCATCGATGATAAGTTACCATGGTGACGAGCGGTTGATGCTACTGTGGCCGCATGCGTGCAAGAGCTTTAATGTCTTCGTCGCATGGCAAATGTAGGTTAGGCCAACAATCCTATGTCGATACTTAAGCTGAGTGCTGCGCTCATAACTAGCCACATTGTTTACCAACTGCCACTGATATCACCATCCCCGAGCTAGATTTAACGCTTAGAGGCGTTGCAAAGAAAGGGTCTTCGCTTAGCGATGGGAGTCTCTCAGACGGCGTCAATCAATGTCAGCGATGAATCCGAGTCTTTACAACTCCGCCTCCTGGCATCTCAGGCTTTGCTGACGCAGCTATACTTGGCGAGTCCTCCACATGCACGGCCCTTCTCCAGCGGCTAATCTCGGATTGGCTGGCCCTTTAACGAAACACAATCATCACTGTCATTGTAAAATCAATTCAAACAAGCATATTGCTCATGATGAAAGAATAGTTAAAGCTTTCATTTTTTTTTCGTAGGGAACCATTTACACGGACTTTGTACCCTTGATGATACTGGCTGTCATCGGTGCCCTGGCATCCCTGCTTCTGCTTCTACTGCCTGAGACATTCAGGACGGCCCTTCCAGACACTATACACGATTCTAAGCAGCTGAAATCAAAGGTAAAATGAATTTCCATAAAAACCAAAGCAATTTGACTGATTTAGTCGCTATCTTGCAATTATCAAGCGTTCTTAGGTAGGCTGTTTGTTCCTGAACTTGTGGTAAAACAGTTCCGACAACTGCGGACGAAGAACATTCAGGACACATTGCTATGTTCTGCACATTCTACGTACGATTGTATGCGAAGTTTCACCTCAAATTTTTCGTATTTGTCTCCATCCAAGTGGTACTGTGCGGGAAATAGCCATGCTAAAAACTGAAATACCAAAGGACGCGTACCATCGAGGAAGAAAATTGAGGACAGAGCAGTAACAGAATCACTCGCAACTAAATTCCTTCTCAAAAAATGAGCGAAATATATAACCATAGCAACCATGTGCGCTCATCGCCTCGCATGTCAGTTAAAAAACCCGCGATAAGACTGACAACAAAAATTGATTACAAAAAAGCCACTAAACGAAAAAAAGAAAGATTTGAAGAAATAATATTCCCCACCATGTAGAGCAACAGATGTATCACTAACACACGTATCTTTCTTTTTAATGCAGTATGCTACCATAATTTCACGTGCCAATGTATCATTACTCGTTCTAAGGACGGATACACTGGAATATCAAGGTTCACACTTGCAGAAGCCACAGTGTACAGGCGAACGTGCCGAAAGGTTATATTTCACAAAAAGTCCGTGCTCTCTAATTCTGTCCTTTATACACCGGCCTGTTTGGCCGAAGTGTACCTTACCGCGCGTATACCCTACCGTACCAAATATAGCCTAACTAAATCTTTTTATTAAATTAATGCTAATCAGCCTATGAAATAGCACGCGTCATTACGATGTGCGCAGATGCCTTTTTGACTCGCATATGACAGCCATTTCTACCTACTGTTCTAATGCATTGAACACAGTTACATCGATTTGGAACTTGGTCATAAGTCTCATTTTGGCAACATTTGTTTTTGTTTTTTTTGTCTCGTAGGAACGTGCCTAGAAGAGGAAGGGGAAGAGATCATGTATATTACCACTGCTTTTCCGCAGACACCAGCACTCCCTCGAAGCTTCAGCTGGACTAGTTGATGGAGTTCATTTGCTTCTTGTTTCAATGTCTACACAAGGCATAAGGCGACCCTTAAAAATTATTTCCTTTGAAAGAATTGAATTTTTGTTTGCGTCACGCTAAGAAAGCACAAAGATCCAGAAACGTGGTACGTGAAAGGTGCGTTGCTGCCTGCTTCTGTTCAAACGTTGGGACAATTCTTGTGTCCACCCTGAAACCTAAGGTTGCATGTTAGAAAAACTTAATTCATGGTCGTCTCGTTACTGGATATTCGGGGGCGCGTTGCGCGAATGTTCATAACTTTTGAACAAGTAAATATTTTAAATGAAGCTTTCCAAAGCGCTTTGCTTCAACATTACCTGTGCAGTGAAAGTTTATTGTTAATAAAAGTGAATAAATTTTGATAATAAAGGCGACAGCACAAATTCGCTCTCCTCAGAGCATCTCCCTGACGGATGCGGAAATCAAGGTTATCGCGCTGGCCATACATATGGCTGAACGTAGAAGACGTGACTGCGCCATGGTCACCGACTCTCAGGCAGCCTGTCATTTACTATTACGAGGTTAAATTTTCCGTGCATGCCATATGTGTTACGAAACACCGCCTCCATAGCCACCATGCGATCTTCTGGTCACCGAGTGTGCGCGCGTGTGCTGCCGAATGTGCTGTGTTTATCTGTCTTCCCTCTCTGCTCCCTATCTTTCATCTCCCCCATACCGCTCCCATGCGCAGGGTAGCAAACCGGCTGCCTATAGGCTGGTTAACCTCCCTGCCGTTCTTTTCCTCCTATTTTCCTTCCTTCCTCTGGTCACCGGCTCACCAAGGGCTGGAGGAAATTGATTGGGTGGTCACCGCGTTTCGAGCACCAACTGTCTGAGCAGCGACTCTCGTCTCTTCAACCGACTTGGAAATTCCAACGCCTCACTAAAATTATAGCCCTACAATCGCGAAGCACTTGCTTGTTCATCAGTCTTTTACTCGACAAGTGTACGTCCCTCCCCGAAAACACTTGACAGTGGAGAAGCCCATCAATTGGAGAAGAATTCAAGCTGGCGTTTAAACGTAAACATTTTGACAGCAATCTGTCTGGCTGGGTAGAAAAGTTTAGAAAATTGAAATTGCTCCAGCCACAGTTCAAATAGAGTCCGACGTTTCGAGACCGACTCGGTCCCTTCCTCAGGGGGTGACTGTCTTGGTCATGGAAGTGTCGTCGCGTCGTGTTCTCTCCGTCGGACTCTATTTGAACTGTGGCTGGAGCAATTTCAATTTTCTAAACTTTTCTACCCAGCCAGACAGATTGCTGTCAAAATGTTTACGTTTAAGTCATTACGCAGTGACTTCGGCAGGAAGCAGCGCTCCTCGCAAAACGGTACGTGAACGTAGCACGCGGCGTCACGACCTACCGCAACCATCTCGACTTCACGAGGACCTGTCGGGAGAGGAACGTGATACCACGAAGCCTTCAGCTCAAGCGCCTGGTGCACACGGCGGAGGGCAACAAGATCATCGCACAAGCTGAACGGCGGCTACTAAACGCCCGAATCCATGAGTGCCACAGCGTCATCAAGAAAAAGGAATTAGACCTGTTCTTTCTACGACGGCAACTTCAACATCGACTGCCCGACATCTTTCCGTCACTGGAGGAGTTCGCACGAAATGTGGCTGCAACAACTGCGCAGAAACAACAAGCGACCCACAATAGTAAGCTTGCGACGCTTCAAGGAGAAAAACACCACTACAGTCCTGACAACGAGAATTTCGTCGTCAATCTGTCCTCCAAACAACTCTCCCCGACAGAGCACAACGTGCTGGCAAAGGGACACAACTTCAACACGACCACGACACGTCCGTCGCTGCCGAAGATCATCGCGGCTACGGAGGAAGGCATAAGGCGACTCGACAGCGGCATTCGGGAGAACGTGCGCCTCAAGGCTATCGGCGTACTATCAAAAATAGGAAAGCGCCGTGAGCACAACCTGTCGAGAGAGGAGTGTAAGGCGATCCATGCGCTCCGAAATGATGATAAGGTTGTCATCCTCCCGGCCGACAAAGGGAACGCAATGGTCCTGCTCGACAGGGAGGCATACAACGACAAGGTGCGAGACCTGCTGGACAGTCCGGCCTACGAAAAGCTGACGAAGGACCCCACACCAAGTGTCCAAAGGGAAATGAACAAGCTCCTGGCGGATATCTTTAAAGCGCACCCGAAGGCGAGAAACACATACCTCCAGCTCATCTGCCGGAACGGCTCTGCACCAGGATTTTACGGGCTTCCCAAGATCCACAAGCCCACAGTTCCGCTCCGTCCTATCGTGGATTTTACAACATCTCCACTCCGGGCGCTGTCCAAGTATCTCCACCGGACTCTCGCGCCGCTCGTGGGGCAAACACCGACCCACATACGCGACGCCAGCCACTTCTTGGAGCGCATGAGAGATGTGACCGTGAGCAGCGATGAGTGCTTCGTCTCGTTCGACGTCGTGTCCCTGTTCACCAGTGCCCGTAGCACTAGCGGTGTCTAGCGCACGAGCAGCGTTGAACCAAGACGAGCTCTTGGATGAAAGAACCTGCCTGGGCGTCGACGAACTGTGTCGCCTACTGGAATACTGCCTCAAGGGGACGTATTTCAGCGTCAACGGGAGCTTCTACAGACAAGCCAGCGGGACCGCGATGGGAGCGGCGATCTCCGTTACGGCTGCGAACCTCACAATGGAACACATAGAAGAGACGGCACTGGGCTCCTTTATTGACAGGCCGAAAGTATTTGTGAGGTACGTGGATGACTGTTTTTGCATAATAAAGAAGGCAGCAGTAGACAGCTTCCTCGAACATCTAAACTCCATCGACCAAGCGATACAGTTCACGGTGGAACGAGAGCGAGACGGGGCGCTCCCGTTTCTCGATGTTTTAGTCAGACGACAGGGCGAGCGCATGACTTTTTCGGTGTATAGAAAGCCAACTCACACCGGCAGGTATTTGCATTTTGCTTCCTGTCATCCAACTGCCCACAAAGCTTCAGTGGTTTCGGCACTCCTTTCACGTGCACGAGTAATCTGCACGTCGGAGGGTGAGAGGAAGAAAGAAGAAAAGAGGATTGTCGCCGAGCTACGAAGGAATGGCTACACAGAAGCGTTCATCCGCCGGGCGTCACGCCGTTTGTCGAGACGACAACCACCGCACCGCGGAAAGACACCTGCAAGCGACACACCGCCCGACCCCCTTTCCGCCCTGGCCACACCACCGCACACGAGAAAAACGAAGGCGCCAAACAACCGCGTCGCCATTCCATATGTGCCGGGCATAAGTGAACAGCTCTCGAGAATCCTAGGAAAAGCCGGGGTCACGGTAATCCATAAACCTGTTTCGACGCTCGCTCGCTTGCTACCGCGGCCGAAAGACCGACCTCCGAGGGAGCTACACCCGGGCGTTGTCTACAAAGTGTCGTGTTCTGGGTGTCCAGCCTGCTACATAGGCGAGAGCAAGTGTTTCCCGGAAAGAATGCGCCAACACAAGAACGACGTCGGGAAGATGGAAGTGCAGCGTAGCGCTCTGGCGGAGCACTGCGAGAAGCACGACCATAAAATTGACTTAGACGGCGCTTCTGTTATTGAAACAGAACGGAATTTGGGAAAGAGGCTCTTGCTCGAGTCTTGGCACATTCAGCATACGCCTGCCAACGTGAACCGCTCGCTGGGAACATTGCCTTTGGTGTACGTTCACGGTCTCCGAAACGTGGTGGAAAGGGAAAACCGGAGCCGTGGTGAGAGAACACGACGCGACGACACTTCCATGACCAAGACAGTCAACCCCTGAGGAAGGGACCGAGTCGGTCTCGAAACGTCGGACTCTATTTGAACTGTGGCTGGAGCAATTTCAATTTTCTAAGCTGGCGTTTATTTCCACTTCGAAAGATTACACAACATGTTCCCAACGTGCTATCGCAGTTCCTGCCCCTGGTTCGGAAGAAGCCCAGCACTCTATCGCATTAGATGGGGCTGCTCAAAATATCTCCACATATGACACATATATACGTGGCACCTACCCACACATAGTGGAATTATCAGGGTGAACAGTGGAAGTGCCTCAAATAGGCTGATCGACGTTTAGGTAGGAGGACCTATCTTTGTGAAAGGACCTTCCTTTGACAAAGATAGGTCCTCCTATCGAAACGTCGGCCAGCCTGTCTGAGGCGATTGCACTGTTCGCCCTGATTATCCCACTACGTGTTTCCATCTGTCGGCTCCTATTTTGATTTTGGGCTATTCACACGTAGGAGCAATAGAGGTGCGACTGATGTGGCCGACCAGCAAGCGCTGATCACCCAGGCTGAACGGGTGGTTAAAGCGAGCAGGGCTCTCCATTAAGGCTTCGCCCATGATAAACGCTTGTAGTTTATCGCTCTCTTTCTCTGTCTTGCTCGCCCCACCACAGCGCTGAACAACAGGAAAAGAAAAGCACTCGCACAGGTGGTCTGCCGCTTGCGCATAGTCGTGTTAGTGGTCAGTAGAGTTATTTCACGTTGACCTGTGATTTTTTGTCAGCAATTCTTAAAAGCATGACATGTTATAAATCAGTATCACGCCACGCGGAAGCCCGTCCGTTCATCGCGTGTCTTCAGAATCTCATTACCCGACACCATCACGTTATTGCTGACAGAGTGAAAGAGGGAGAGGCCACAAACTCTTACTCAACCCCCTACTCACGCCGGAACGAGCTAGCACGTGAGCGCGCTCTGGCAGTGCTTGGGCCAGCTGTTGCGCATGCGCAGTAATGATGGTCAAGCCGCACACCGGATTGAACTCCCCCGTAAGCTGCTTCGCATCTAAACGAAACACGCAGTCGATGCTTCTCACTACCTCAAAATTGCCTCCTCCTCCACGTTGGAGCTGGGGAAGAGGATGCACCCAACTTACCCGCTGTCAAACCTTACAAAAGGACTCACCGGCCCCTGTGGACGTTTTGAGCGAAACCTTCGGGTTCGCCTGTCTTTGCGCAAAATTGGCTTGCTTCTAAGCCTTTGGAATCTGGTGTTCACTTCTATTCGCTAATGTTTTATCTCCGTTTCTCTCTTTGGTATGTACACGCTCAAGTGCCACCGCTAGCCTATCGTTATCGCTACGCTGAATGGGACAGAAGCATTAGCTCTTCGGTGACGCTCACGCTAACGGTAAGCGGGTGCTGACGTTCTAAGCATGCAACCTCAAAAGCGTCAATGGCAGTGAAGGAAACCGGCGTTCGTGATGCAATGGCGTTTTTTTCGACCGATTGTGGTATTTACTTGACCGCTACCACAACTTTTTTCACTCACGTGGTACTTCGACGATGATGACAAGCGACTACATGAGATCGAAGCCCAGGCTCCTGTAGTAATTCACTCTTAAAAGGCCACACCAAACCTCCTCCAGACATTCTTCGAGTGATTTGTATACTCTTCGGAAGTCATTGAAGGAGACTGTAATAGCAGCCTTCTCTGAAACGTCGCTTCTGGGCGGTGTCACCACGGTATACTTCACTTTTTTTGCACTGTTTGGCCGCATCTTAAACGGCGTAAGCCTATTCCTTGATCATCAAAATGCGCGTTTAGCAATACATTTGTGCGAGTACATTGTCTTGCAATCTTTTGCACAATCTTTTTATGTTGTCGTGGGAGATAGAGAGACAGAGAAAGAGAGGGTTCATTCTACTTCCAGGTACTTCAACCAAGCCTTTGCCGGAAGTGATTGACTTTTATATTCGTTTCATAGCACCGGTAACAGTTTCAAGTGTGGGTGTTCATGCCTGTCAGCAGCCCACTCGCTTTCTGAGCGCGCAGCCTACCCGTCACCACCGAAAAAATTTGGTTTGGTCTGCGGATTACTTCTAAACAGCAATTGCTCTTACAAGACATATGAATGGACATAGTTTTCTCGTTTAATCCACCATTGCATCCGCAATTAGCCTGGTCCCCTTCGGCTTCCACTGCTAATAGCGAAGGCCACAAGTCGGCACACAAGTGGTTACCGATTCAGAATCGGGCTTCTGGCCATCTTTCACTTTACTGCTCCAAAACCTCTTGGTGCCAGTATTTAGTACTTAGTGTTACGACATACTGAATAAAATTGAATAAACGTGGCAATAAACACAAATGCACGAAAAGAGAACTGACTGACACGGAGAATAGTTTGTTCGTGTCATTTCTTTTTAGAGGCGAAGCTCCTTTAGGCGACGGCTGTGCGTCCCATCGTAACAGTATGTAGTCACCTCTCGTTAGTTCTTGATCTGACCGTAGAGGGCGGGACTTGTAAAAATAACGAAATGCATACAGGCTGAAAAATGCAAATGGCACGATACTAGAAGACCTTACTTCTAGTGTGATAAATAATAATAAAAATCACGGCATATCCATGGAGTGAACGATGATGAGTTGGGCGAAGCGTCAATCAGTCCGTCCGCGCTTCCGTCGGTCCGTTCGTTCTTGCTTCCTTCCATCAGTACGTCCACCCGTCCGTTCGTTCGTGCGTTCATCCGTTCATCCATCCGTCCGTTCATTCGCCCATGCATCCATCCGTCCGTCCATTTGTGCATCCGTGCATCTGTCTATGGCTCCATTCATCCGTCCGTCCTCTTCGCCCCACTCGTAATCATTCACCTCGTAGATATGTTGCGATTTTTTCGCGTATTCTTACTCACACGCACTCAAATTTTTGTTCGCAATGAACTACGAACTCACCCAAATACTCGTGTTATTCGACATTTTTACATAAAAGATAGATTCGAACTGCGGCACTTTGTAAATGTACTTGCTCGGTGTAGCGTCAAAGTATATTGCTGCTAGCTTAAGCGAAGAAATGTAGCACAGTAACCGTGGAATCGATGGCGGCTTGATAGGTAGTGCCTTTACTAACGCGTAAACTCTGGCGGCTTCGTAGACATTGAGAACTTTCACGTGGTGATGTAGTGCCTTAGATATCAGGGACGGCTTACTGCTCTCCCATAGTTGAGTACACAGTACTCAAAATCGTTACACATTTTTTTTTTTTTCTATACGGCTCGCCACCATATGGGGCCATCACTACGCCAGGCTCAGGTAAATGGGCTTTCAGCGGGACGGCTCAGTGCTCTCCTATAGTTGAGTACGAAATACTCGAAATCATTAAACTTTTTTTCTAAACATCTAGCATGTTGCGGTGATTCGGTTTTGTGCCTTGACCTTTTATGGTATGGCTTTATGCTCTCTCATAGAAGAGTACCAAGGGCTCTTAATTTTTTTACCACTTTTTCTGAACAATGTTGTTTTTGAAGCTTGGATTGAAGCTTCCAACTGAAGTTCTCAAGTACTACATCTTTCGCGATTGCACTCTTCTTCAAACTTTTACTCACCGGGGGAAGCCCATGGACGACCCTTTTAAACGAATCTGCTGTTACCTTCCGGCGCACTTGGAGTTCACCACACTTGTACATCTCCGACGACCACACGGATTGCGACATTGCTCTCCCTTTCGTCACATTTGCCTATAACTGATGCCACAAAAGTGTCGGCTATTTTACCCTTCTATCTTCTCTTTGGGCACGAGCCTTGGTTACCTTTCAATACCCCAGCTATTAATTTTGACCCAACATCTACGACTTATTCATACGCCTAAGAGATGCGATCACCCAAGCTCTCATCGCAGGCACCCGCACTCGGCGCCCCAGACTACACAAAAAGTTTATGCATGATAGTCGACGCAGGGATGCTGCAGTTTCTCTGAACTATCTCGTTCTTCTGTGGTTCCCATCTCGTCGTGTTAATTGGCCTCAGCGAAAAGCTCCCATAACAATACGTCGGTCCCTACCGAGTGCGCTATGTGACACCATGCGAAATTTCCCTGACAGCTGTTTCATTCAGCTCATCAACTTCTACACTGAAAACTGACATCGTGTTTGTTTCTCGCCTGAAGAACTACAGCAGTGACACGCCCTTTTAGACATAGCTGGCACGAGACAGTGTTTCACAGGCCGGCAGCGCCGCTGAAGTAACGCCGAAGGGAAGACGATGCTGTGGTGGGGCCGAGTCTTGGTTGCCCTGTTGACTAGCATTCAGTGCACTCTGTTCAGTGTCATCTCGCCCTCAATACTGACTGACGACCCCTTGATAAGTACTCCCCGTAACAATACTACGGTATTTTTGCATATTACGCCGCCCACTCCGGTACACAGTATAAAAAAAAAAACGGGCTTGTCCGGGATTTGAACCCGGGACCTCTCGCACCCTAAGCGAGAATCATACCCCTAGACCAACGAGCCAACTTGGCGAGGTGGCGGTTATTAAATGTTGCATACATTTGTGCATTATCAATCTTTCTGTGGTCAAGTATTTTTTGCAGTATTTCAAGACTAGCACGTCATTTACCCACTAAACAAACAATTTACAATACTAAAACAACGCCTTTCTAGGAAGCGCTGACTAAAACTTCAGTACTGTTTTGTCATGCTTGCTTTTTGCCAGCATAATAAACAGGCATCTTTGAGTATTAGCACGGAGCAAGTTTCAGAGGCTATACTTTGCCACCCTGCAAGTGGTGCCAAATCAAGTTTTCGCAGCCGGAAACGCGTCACGACCGCCATGTCTTCGGCACCCATCTCATGGCGAAAATGGCGGCGGCCTGAAAACACCAGCGAACAGAGTTCAACAACGCGTAGCCGTCGCAATTTTTCTTCGTTGATGTTGCGTCGTCCCGACGAACGACGACCATGGAAGTGACCGCAGAAAGTGAGTTTCGGATTCGGCTCTTCCTTCCCAGCCGTCGTGCCTTTGTTTAGCTTTGACAAGCACATTCACGTCGACGCCGGTTTTTCTTTCTCTGGTCGAACCGCTCAGATTTCAAGGAACAGTTCGGCGTGCTGAAGGCAGCTCTCGAGAATGCCTCGTTCGTCGCGATCGACTGCGAGTTTACCGGTAAGCCAGCTGCTTCGAGGCGAAGCGAGCATTATACACACAGGCGTGTCGCTTTTGTCGTTTTTCAGGTCTAGAGTTGGAAAGAAGCACCCACGCGTACGACACCCCGGAGGAACGTTACCAGAAGCTGAGAGAGGTTTGTTCCTATGCCGGCGTCGTGTTTCGCACGCTTGTCCCGTCGTCCGCCGCACCCACTTTTTGTATGTCGGTTTTCTGTTTGCCTTGCGACTGGTTCAGCATGTTGTCGTATCGCGGGTCAAATCCTCCTCGCCAGCGAAACCATATGATCGTGTCCACACCTTCCATATTTGTTTATATTGATCGCCTTTCTGGTTGTAGTCCTCTCTAGATTTTCTGGTGGTGCAAGTCGGCGTGTGCGTGTTCCAGCATGACAAGGAAAAGCGCGGGTAAGTTGACCAATACCGCTCCCACTTTGATTAGAGTTTCGTGCAATATTTGCTGGAGGGAACTGTGACTCTAAGATCGCACAGCCACCACAGGAATGATGGGTGCTGTCGGCTTCAAACGCACTCTTGGCTCGCCTCATCATATGTGACTTGTGTTTCATTTTGTTTCGAATATTACAATGGCTCTTCGTGAACCTCGTGAACTGGAGTTGTTGAACCTTCAAAGTTCTTGAGGAGGTGGTGGGGTGTGAGTGCTGAACCACATGGAGCCAAAAAAAGCTTAGGCAAATGCATGTATTACCTATTGTTCCCAAGACAGCTGAAGTGTTGCGGCTGGTATGGACATTAGTGCCAGATTTCCCTCTAGTGTATAATTCTGAAACTCATTGATGCTAGCCCTGGTTTGTTGGAGCTGGCTGTGATGGTTTGATGGACTAGTACTACATGTCAACTGTTAGGTTTAAACGTACTATTAACATTCGAGACAGTCCCATTACTCCTGATGCTCTTCTGTGGAATGATACCGTTGCATCCAGCCCGATCGAAGTAGATATCTAGTTATGAAAAGACAGCGGAATGCTTGAATGTTGTGTTCTGTGATGACAGTGCACACTAAAAAGCAGCAGGTGGTCGAAAATTCTAGAGGCCTCTAATAAAGCGTACTTTATAATGATACCGTGTTTTGGCATGTAAAACATGAGATGGTATTGGTATTATTGTTATCACTAATATCTATGAAAATATCAAGGTGACTTCTACCTTTTACTTGACCTAGTAGGTCTGTCATGATTAACACGTAAACCTCATCTTGCTTATCTACAGTGAATTTATGAAGAGTAGAAACTTGGGCAAGTTGTTAGGACATAACTCAATATACAAACAGTGCAATCTAGAAGTAGTTATAGCAAAACTATGGAAGTAATAAACAAGGACAGAAAAGAGCGCTTTTTTCTGTCCTTGTTTATTGCTTCCGTAGTTACGCTGTAAGTACATCTAGGTTGCACTGTTTGTATATTCAGTTCTATTTGCTTATATACAATCTTATTTGTAATCTTATATCCTATTTGTTTTTGTCAATCTTCCTCCTGGGCTGGCTTTTTTGGTCCTCAAGCCTCCCTCTTTGCTTCTACATAGCCTTGTCCAGTGCAGTCTTAAAGGGGCACTGCTACACCTTTCTGAGTTATAACGGAATAGTCTCACTATTAGCTCATAATGCTTCACGAACCACATGCCGCAAGGACATTTAGAATCCATCAAGTATGAGTGGTGTTATAGGGGTTTGTGGCATGCTTCAAGTGTGTTCTCTCTCCTTTCCTATACCAGTGGGCACGCTGAAAGCACTGCTGGGAAGGGTATGAGAAAGGGGCAAAAAGAAAGATGAGCACTTTCGACAGCGTGCGTCATGACCTTAAGCTACCTTTTTCAGCGAAAACTGTTGTGCTGCCATCGTCTTTACCACCACCGGTGTTTATATAATAAAACAAAAGACTAAGTAAATAAATAACACCAATGACACCATGGAATTATAAGCAGGGGCCCTTGCGTGCGAGGCCAGTATTCTACCACAGAGCTTGTGCTTGAAACTCCGTTGCAAACTGGCCTTAAACAGGCTTGATGTCAAGAAAGGAATCTCGTTAACGAGCAATGAAGTTTTTTAGAACAGCAAAGGAACAACCAACTGCCACACAATGCGTATTGCATAATGAGTGGGTTGTCGAATGCTCCAACCCATTACAAATGCTTTAGGCATAACTCTTTGTCGTCCGCCATAACGTGAAAAAAGATTGTGCAAAATTTCAAAATGTGTAGCGGGTACCACACTTTTCTGAAGAATATCATAGTGATTGCCTCCCTACAACACAAAAATTGATGACTACGGGGACACTAAAGTCAAATAACAATTTACGTCAGAGTGAAAGCTCAATCTATGACATCTAAAATGACAATATTGTCAACAACAGTGCCCTACTTTCTGAGAAATTCAGGTAAACGCACAAGAACACATCGCTGCTGAAGGACATTCTCGAAATTCAAAATCATCCAGATAACGTCAGACGGACCGTTGACAATTAATCACTAGTAATCAATATAGCTTCACTAAATGAAGAATATTCTGTGCATCAAGAGACAATAAAATGCTGGCGGTGCGTTTCTGTTTTTTATTTATTTTATTTTCACCAAAACATACAATGGCGAAAAATGGGGAGACGGCAAAAAAGCTCCAATTATTGCAGCTTGACTAAGCACCGTCCTCCCTACGTCAGCAATGATGTAGGGTGGACAGTACAGTTTGATTTAGGAAAAACAGAACAGCTGGACGTTACTATGAGGAATTGCGCGAGTGGCTCGAAAATTCAATTTTCACGTAGTTACACTGGATAGGTGGTGCCATCTAGCAGCGCGCAGTTGAATAAAGAAACGTCTGCAATCTCGGACCAGTGGTGGGAAATTGATCAATGGCCGTTATTGTTGCTTTGGCTCCCGCTGCTTTCGGTCTGCTGCTACCAGCGCAGTAAAGCCGGGCAACCTAGTGCACGGCAACAGTGGCGTGAGTCGGTCCGGTCGGTCCACTTCTTTAGGCGAGTAAGTTGAAGTGCGCTAACTCGATGCGGACCACTAAATGTGATTTTATTTCAAGATAGGCTCTTCCTCGGCATAAAAGCAACGCTACGATGTTTCTGGACCGCTTTTTCAAGAATCAACATCGACTTCGTAGTTGCCTTTAGTGTTCCCTTAATGGTGTAGTGGGTACCCTGCAAGTGTGCTTGTGGTTCTAGAAAGGTCGCTCTTCCAGCTTTCACTTTGACTGTGCCTTCTGCGCTGAACTGGCGTTTTTTTTTCTTTCTTTAAGCACGCAGCTTACTTTCAATGGGATCGCGAGTGTGCACGGACGGACGCATGTAGCAGTACCTTGCCGTGGCCACGATTACTATGCAGCTCACAATGCTCAAATCAGCCACTGGCTAAAGACTTTGAATATATGGCTCTCTATTCTTTCTACATCATTTGTAGAAAGAATAGAGAGCGATTTATTGCTGACTTCGAGATTTAGTTGTTAATTTCAGGCTTAATTTTACGCTTGAAATGTCCAGATCGTACTTTTTCGGAGCCTCGACTACCGAATGGCAGTGTTTTCTAACCATCTCCAAAAGGGGCTGCAGGGTCCTTCTAAGGCCACCTATTTGCAATGAAAGGTCACTAAACGAGTTTTCATCATTTCCTTGGACGTTATCAATGCCAAAACCCTAAAATAATGCTAGCCATATTTTAACTGCAGAAACGAAGGGACCATGTCTGACCTGGGACTATATATATATAGCCTTGGACGAAAATCAGTGGAAAAGTTAATAAGGCCAACGAAACAGGCAATTGTATTAACCTGTTTAGATTTCAAACCATTGCACATGTTCATGCTAGTTCTTATGTGCAGTTTTCATTTCACGGTTAGCCGTTTCCCGAACCGTCATCCGTTTATCTTCGAATTCTTTGTTTGAGGTTACTGACACCCAAACATACACCAGCTTTTAAGGACATAGCTACTTTTCTAGTTATTAACAGATTTGTCGATCACATGTTGTTGTATAGTGGCGTCACATGTGATCCCACTGCAGCCTGATCCCAATTGAGTTTATCAATTGTGTTCGTCTCCTTTATGTAAGCTGCAGAAGGGAGCCAATGACTGATCAAAAGTTTGGTACTCATTAGACTCTTTTAGACACCACCTCTGAATAGCTATCTGTGTGGAATTGACATAAAATTATTGTAACATGCTTAGTACTGTACTTTTACAAAAATAATGTCATAATGTGTTGTTTTATGTGTGTTATAGTGGCTGATTCTAATAAAGTTGTTTTTAAATATCCATTTTTCCTTAAGTCATTGCTGCTGATTTTGCATAGAGTCAAATCTCAAGTACAGTGGCAAAGTTGTATTCAATTTTGTTGATTTTGAGCAAAGAAAATTCTGCGTTTTTCTTGGCTCAAGGGAAGTTGCATATCGAACTATTTTCAAACATGGTAGGGCTTCGAGCAGTGTGAATATATTCAATGATACAATGCAAAATGAAGTCAAATGAGGACACATTTATTATGCAGGAGGTTAAGTTTCATCCAAACTCTGATGTACCTTGCTCTTTCATAACCACTGGCCGGCAAAACTAGCAAAAGAAAGTGGTGCGCACGATTGTGTGCAAAGCGTCTGAAAGGGTTGATTGTAATCGGTCGTGCACAATGTGACGCTAATGTTAGGAACACGCGCCATTCAGACCAAGTGGTGTGTACGGGCGTGAAGTATTTACTACACTGTGGTTAACGAAAGCGCTCTGTTGTGCTACCAGGTACAAGTACAAGGCATTCAACTTCTATGTTTGTCCCAAGCAAACGATCAAGGGTGCACCCGACAGGATGTTTCGATGCCAGGCAAGTTTTTTCAGAATGTTGCCACGTTGCTTGATTTGATTTTACTCCGGTCACCTTATCACAGCATAGCCGCGATGAATGCCGAAAACAGTCTAAGATGTCCGTCATAACCGTATAGTGGTTTTGCGACATAAAACTCCTACAATCATTGTGAAAGTTGTGGAGATAGGTTTGCACTAGGCTTACCTACTAAGCGCAACCGTGTAGGGATGCGACGTCCTCCACTGCCGCTGCGGTCGGGTTCATCGTTTTCTCCGGCACGGCGCAGAAACCACGCACGAGGCAGGATAACAACAACAATGGGTTTATTAACCCAAGATGCAGCACAGTGCGACACTAACTTGCAGGCCGTATAGGGTACTCTGCAAGACCGAGCAAGTACGCTTGCCCAGGGCGCGACGACTCCCGCACAAGGGCTGAAGTCGAACGCACGAACGAGAAGCCGCCTGCTTAGCAGCGCGTCAACCCCTCGTGAAGGCCTGAGAGCATCTGCGGCGACGAGCGAATCATCGGGCGCAACACAGCTCATAAGAGAGGAGGATGTCACGCGCGCCTAAAGAGAAATGGCACTGCGTTGTGACAGGCCCGCGCAGCGCGCCAGCGTAGCGTGCCCGGACATGCCAGCGCGGGAAGGAGCCGACGGTTGACTGGCACAGACCAAGAGGCGCCCTGGCAGCCATCTTGGCGGATGCCGGTGCTTATGCGTGCCCGGGCGCGCGGCAGCTGGGGAACGAGGCGCCAGGTAGCAGGGCGCTCTCGATTCCCACAGACTGTAGCATTTGAAGGCTCGGCATCCACTTTGGGGAAGCATCAAAATGTGTATGGAATCTGTCACTTGTATGTTCAGCAACACAAACCTACCAAGAGTTCCGAATTGCTCCCGGTCCATAACCGCTGTGGACGGAACCGCGGTCGCTCTTGACACGATTATGTATGGTAACAACTAGACTGACCGAACCCCAAAAGTGCACGCGTGTCCAACACTCGACCTGTCAAAGCAATGCTGCTTTCAGCAAATGCTGCGTACAATACCGCAGCATATGCGGTCACAGATAGCAACAAACGATGTGGTATTGAAGGCATGTGCTTGGCAAGTGCACATTGATAGAAAGCGGAATTATCGTTTGCCGCCCTCACATGAAGCCACTGTGAGCGCTGAAGGCATACAGCCAACACAGCCGTAGATCAAAGGCAATAAAGATGTGAAAAAGACTAGAAGGGTTCTGGCGTTCCTGTCAATTTTTGCTTATGATTATGGTGGAGCGAACTTAGGCACTTGGTTGGTTCTCAGTTGGCCTCAAACAACGCTTTGAATCGCGAAAGACATACACGAGTTCTTCTCACAGAAATAAGTGTTTTGTGCGTATATCGTGCTTTGAAAACGGATTTTGTTAATTTTTATTGATAGGAAATTTCAGGCATTCAGAATATTTTCACTTTCTCTTTGAGATTGTCACCTTCTACTATGGTTGGGAAACGCCACCTTTGTGTGTTTGGCCACTCCAAGCCATTATAACATTGCATGTTTACGCTTGCTTGGCTGTTTGAGAAAGACCCCACACCCCCCCCCTTTTTTTACGATGTTCTCCCTCCTCCTCTTCACTTGTTCTGCTCATCTACCGTATCCGCAATGCTTGAACTTGGCAGGTATGCACTGTCCTAATTTGCAGTTACATGGTACACTTGTGTGGACGACTCGTCCAGTGAAACATCATTGCGTACACTACATAGCAGTTGCTGCTATCTGTACAAACTTAGCCAGTACGGCAAACATGAGTGGTGTTAAACCACACAGCGTTGCTACCATTGCTGCCGTGCTTGCCGTCTGACATACAAAATTTAACACAGAGAGTGTGATGTTCAAAGTAACGTGACTTGTCGTACTGTGCCTACTCCACTTTTCGGGCGAGAGCGCTCCAAACTGCTCCCCGGCTGCTCTAAGCTTGTAAAAGCTCTCTCGATCTGCCACTGGACGACAGCAAGCTTACTCCTGTTCGGTCACTGAAACAATGCCGGCTCTGAAGAGAGCACTTTCAGCGTGCTTTAGAGTGCTCCTGTTCTGATGATTAAATTAGCTTTAACTTAGTTGCATGGTAGGTGTTTGTCGCGAGCCATTACTATTTCTAGCTTCTCTAATGCCTCCCTTTGTTTTTGTTTTGCTCATCGTTCGTCTTTTTTCACCCGCAGGCTAGCAGTTTACAGTTCCTGAGTCAACACGGGTTTGACTTCAACAAGCTCTTCAGTCATGGTTTGAGAACCTCTTTTTGTTTTTGTTTTGTGTGTGTGCGTGTTATTTTGTTCTATTATTCAGCATCGACAACTCAGCGCTTGTCTTGTTTCTCATCTCTGCGACCATCATGTTGCACTGTTTTTAATGCGATAGTGTTAAAGAGCTCGTTTCGCAAAAGTTTGACGACGGCGTCGGCGTCACTTGTTGTGAGCGAAAAATCATCATCTTATGCGTGACTAAAAATCGAAAATGATGCAAGTAAAATAAGTTATAAAACAATCCTGGGTCAGAGTGGGCCCGACCCAGGGTCATTTCGGTCAGAGTGGGGATCGATTCCGGGTTGTTTGCGTGGCAAGCGCATCTACCTTATGGCCACGCATCTGCTTGTGGATTGCACAGTGAAAAGAACTTCCTCTCCCTGAAGATGCAGTGAAAGTAGCTTTCATGCTTTACAAACACACGCGTTGTGTATTGACGTTGAGGTTCAAGGTATGATTGTGTAATTGAACCATGCTTGGATTGGTGATGGGAACATTTCTCCGCAAAAATTTCGCAAAAATTTTACAATCCCATTTTCATGCCTTGTTTTATCGTGCCCCTATCGTAAGATGCAAAAGTGCAGCTATTCTCTGCAATTACACCTTGTCTGTAATGAGAAGCTGGACAAGAAACTGCCCCCTTTTAGTATTGGTTCTTTTTACTTTGCTGCAGACAATATTCTGTTGTGCTTCAGAGTCTCATGCTCAATGTTAACTCAATGTGTACAGAAAAATTTCCGAGAGTCAATGGTACATACGCTCGGACATATAGGTTATATATCAATGGTACATACACTCGAACATATCGGTTATAGTAAAGGTAATTAAAAATAGTGTTGCAATATAAGTAGTGTTTGGAATATACCTCTATAAGAGATTTTTGGATGTAGTGAAGTTATTTTCGTGTAATGTGCAACTTTGTCATGATGAGGTTGGAGTGTAGTTGACGAGACGCTCGCTACGTAATACCTTAGGATAAAAGTTTCTTTTCTCTTTGGGTAGCACAAGTGAACCCTAGATTGAAGTATAACATTGCACAAGAAAAAGCTATACATGTTCAGGAGCAGCCGTTCTTTAATTGCCTGTTGTACCATGCAAATACGGCATAACTTACGACTAATTGGTTGTTATGCTTCGTGCGGGACATGCCTGTGTAACGTGCACAATAGTCTGAGAACATTTAGTGAGCATTGACTGAAGGCAAAAATACTAAAACTTACAAGCCTAACCTAACCTAACTCTAGTTATCGCAAGCTATAGGTGTCCCTAGGCTTGATTACGATACCGTAGCTTCCTTTTCGGCCGTGTTGAGGTCTTGTGCAAGCCACCTTCGCGGTGTCGCAGGCGTATCGTACCTGAGGATGGAAGAAGCCGCGCAGCTGAGCCAGGCGTTGAGCGAGCGGCACGAGCAGCAGCTCAAGGACGTGGGCTCGCCAAACAACGGCCCGTCCAAGATATCCAAGGTGGAGGTGCCCAAGGACAGCCAACAGTTCATAGACGACATCCTGTGAGTTCCTCTTCTTTGTTGGGACCATGCTTGCAACGGGACAAAGCGCATGATCCTACCTTCTTTCTCGTGGTGTCATTTCGCACTAAATATAGCACTATGGACACACACTGACCAGCCCACCAACACATTGCATTGATGTCTCTCTTCTTTGTGTTAGCATTTGTGAAGCTGAATGTTCGATGCAAGTTCATCTTGCTAGGAGGAACCTATGGTTCAAACAAAGGGACACTAACTGAAGCAGCGAGTAAAATGCACAAACTTGTTTACCTTAAATAAAAGAAAAATAACCCAATGTTCCCACCCAAACCAAGGTGATTGGGAATTGAGAGATGATTGAGGAACAACAAAGAGCAGTGAATATATAGTCTTTTTTTTTTTCTCAAACAGTGGGGTTACGCCTCTTCTAAATAATGTGCCGAAGCCAATTGAAATATAACGTAGGCCAGTTGGCATTTTCCAAGTGTCGCCTGGATGTGCCACGATTCTACCAAAAGTTGCTTATTGTGGTTGGCCTCAGAGTCAATGACGTAAAAGCTGTCTGAAGTCAATGTGGTGGTCATTCACCGCATTATGCACAGCGAGTGCCTTTCTTTGTTGGCCTAGCTTGCAGCCACTTTTTTTTTTTGTTTTGAGGGCTTTTTGTGAACTCGTGGCACATCCAGGCGACACTTGGTGACGTTGACTCTTTCACAGGTGCCCTGCAGGCTGTCTTACTACTTCGAATTACTTAACACATCATGGAGAATAGAAATGATTCCAAGACCCGAAGAAATAAAACTTCGTTTGCAGTCCTCTAAGCATCCTTTAAAGTGAACCCGAAGTATTAAGTTTTTTTTCTTTTGTGTATGATAAACAAGTGTTCACTTTTTTACTCAGTGCCCTGGTTTATGTTCCTTTGTACCAGGTATTAATGTTCCTTTGTGCCTATTACTCCTTCCCCATTTCTGATGCGGTGCAGCTCGGGCTGACCTAATTGCCCCGGCACCGCATAGGACGATTATAGCTTGTCCATCTGGCAGGAGAGTTTTTCGCCACTATCATAATGATTAAAATTGTCAAAATGATGAAACCATTCTCAGAATTCTGAAAATTTCTGGCAGCATTTCTGTTCTGTTTTTATTGGTAATTACTAACAGGTAGCCAGCCTTCTTTGGATGATTAATTAAAAGTAAACTTCACTCAGCTCGTAAGCCTTGTGTGTGGTTATTTTTTTTTTTCAAGTGTTTTTTTAGAAAAGAAATATTCTGCACCAACTTCAAAATGTGAACCGTTGTAAGGAGAGACGTTCGTATATATCGTTTGGCTCATAAAACTTTAAAAACATCTTTTCATACTTTAAGTATTAACCTACTAGCTCAGGAAGCAACGTTTCTTACAGAGCTGGGCTGGCACGAAATCTTTATAGAATATCTTGCTTCATTAGTCGGTTCTGCAGAGTGCATATTAGGTGTGGGACATAGAAGGACATAGCCCTCTGCTGTGCATGTTCTTATATGTTCTTTTACTCTCAGGTTAGCACCAAACAAATAAATGAATAAAGAAAGATCACTCAGATTCCCTAAAAAAATATAGTATTTTGCGCTTAGGGGTCATTTGTGCTCACGCTCGCGAAATTTTTTCTCGATCTCATGCACTCAGACCCAGTCTTGCCGAAACTTCCCTCAACCAGACTTTCTCGGACTCAGTGAAATAGTTAAACTAGACAAACTTGCGAAAATATCAGTACGAACCTGAACTCAGATTGGTAATCATGGCCAGATCTCAGTCTACGTCAGTCGACTCGTGTATGAGTTCGCTGACCTATGCTTGTGCCTCGTAAACACAGAATAACGATGATTCGGCACACGATAGAGAAAGAACACAAGTACACAGGGCGAGCACTGCTTGCAACTAAACCTTAGCTCGTCCTGTGAATCTGTGTTGTTTTCCTGTCGTGCATCGAATTCGTGCTTTTCCTGTATTTAAAATTACGAACCAATTACCCAGTACTAATTTTTTTGTTAAGCCTGTGCCTGACTTGCGCTCTGCAGTTTATCACGCGAAAACGTGGTGTTACTGGTTCAGAACGAGCGGCCAGTTTTCGCCACGCCTCTGCACATTGTTTTCGCTCGACAGGGACTCGGTGCAGAAGTTTCTAGACAATGCGTCCGGCACGGAGGTCGACATGGAGGGCGAGGACGGAGTCGGGAACGCCACCGCGAAGCAGGACTCGCCCGAGGACTTGTGCATGCGTGAGGCGACCCCCAAGAAAGATGGCAGTGCCCTTCACCTCTCCGAGTGCAACGGCTTCAAGCGCAAGCTCATCTACCAGGAAGTGAACGCGCGCTTCGGCGACAAGGTCCAGCTCACCACGGAGTCCGACTCGGAAGGCATGCTCCACATCGCCGTGCGCATCACCGGCACGCCGGAAGAGCAGAGGGCCCGGCTCGAGCTCAAGCAGAAGAAGGAAAGGGTGAGGGTCTGATAATACAGTTGTTTAAATTTCATTTCACGGAATTGGGAAAACTTCAAATTACCCAAATGACAAATTGTTGAAAATTTAACAAAAGAACAACTAACAAAAGCCTGCTTCATCTGTGCACTATTATTTTTTGGTGAATGCACAAGTCCAGTAAAAAAAATATTTTGCATGAAGCTGTACAGAAGCCTCATTTTTGTCATTTGCCACTTTATAATGTAAATGTGGCACAGGACAAGTATGTCTTAACAGGAGACTTGGGTCTTAAAAAATGGTTTTCTCAAAAAAGTAGTAAATGGCATGAAATCTGTTACACTTACTCGTTCTTTTCGGCAGATTCGAAATCTATAGCTGCGTAAGAGCATTTGTCAGTTTTCAATTTCCCAGTTTCTTTTTATTTCATTTTTCTTTGGCTTTCTGCGTTTCTTTCTTCTAATTCTTTCTTTCTCTTTCATCATTCTCTCTCTCTCTCTCTCATCAGAATTATTTGATCACGTACGAAACAAATTTGCACGCATGTTCTGAGCGCAAAGCAGGATAGGTCGGGGAGACTGCGTTCCAGTTCGTGGTGATAATAATTTTTGTAAGCGACTAATGAGGCACCTTCATGCCTAAATAGCCTGGTTGTTAAAAAAAAATGAAACAGCTTTACCACAAAGGTTAAGCAATGAACGCGGCAGCAACAAATTAGAAGGTCACGTGCAGAATGGAAAGCAGATCGAAACTGTGCCCTGCATTTCTCACGCACAAATTACACACAAAACATGCTCACAGGTACAGATGAATGCAAATAAGCATCTCAGTTGTTACTTCGCTGTGCCAGAAAGGCTCGCCCTTTCTGAAAACGGAGACTGTGCAACAATTGCAGTGACCTTTGTGCACTCGGTAACTATGACAGAATCGTTTCAGTGAAAGCCCAAGGCCAGCCAAGACTTATGATCTTCCCCATCGCAAGATAAGGGCAGGCGAGTGAGCATCCACCCCCTTCTCCCAGTGGGGCTAAGTACGTGTGGGAGATAAGAGGGTGTGCTGCTGGGTCGTGACAATGTGGCAACGCCTGCTCATTGGGCTGAAAACACCATAGTCCCTCCCCCCCCCCCTTTTCCCTTTCCGAGATGCCCGTCAACAGCGGTAAGTGGTAGATATAAACAGCTTGCCGTTTGAACGTTGAAGGAGGTGCTCCTCCATGGCTCAGTGGTTAACGGCTCCCATTCACGATTCAGAGGTCCTTCGTTTCATTCCACGCGCCAGGGTCTTTTTCTGAATTATTTTTCTATCTTTCGTTTTCATATATATACATGTACCATATTTACTCACATAATCCTCGCACTTTTCTTGCTTGAAAACTGATGCAAAGTTGGGAGGTGTGAGAATTACGCGGGGAAAACTTTGCACGAAAACTTACAGAGCGAAAAAGAAAATGAAGTGGCCGCAAATCGGGATTCCCACTCCAGCAACTTACTGCAAGCTTTAAGAAGTACTAACTAGAACTTACCTCAACAATAAAAGCAGAGGTTCAACATAATGCAAGATTTATTTGAGACACAAAAAGTGCAAGCAATTAGTCGAGAATTAGAATACCATACGCAAAGCTTGTGAGTGTTGCGGGCGTAGCGGTAGCGTTCGTCGCTCAGCAGGAGCCCTCAAAAGGTAAGCGTAGGACATCAGTATTGGGCTGATGGCTATTTAACAGAATCGTCCGCAGTTTCCTTCTGAAGAAATAAAGTTTACCATAAATCCCAGTTTTAGGCACACGGCAGGCCAAACGCGTCTTGGTGGCCTTCAGCTGCCGTCACCAGTAGCGAACACAAAACTCGTAGACTCCGAAGGGCCTAACGGGGGCCCTGTTGCCGTCGTTTAGTGCATGATCTATCACTTGCAACTTTAAGCAGCCGTAAAGCTTCAGTATCACCCCATAACGGACCAAGATTACCAACACAGCATACAAAACACGCCGCAAAGCGCACTAGCCACTTCGGCTTGGCTTGGATTGAATCTGCGTGCAATAGTACGCTTGATGCTTAAGAGATGGCGCCAGATGGTGTGTGTTATTATGATAAGTGGCTGGAACGAGCAGACAACATTATTGGGGCAGTTTTCGGGGGCGCGATAGTTAATACTTCTCAAAGCTTGCTGTTAGTTGCTGGTGTGAGAATCCCGCTTTGTGGCCACTTCATTTTCTTTTTCGCTCTGTGCGTTTTCGGGGAAAGTTTTCCCCGCGGAATTCTCGCCCCCCCCCCCCCCCCTTCAACTTTTCATCGGTTTTCCGCCAAAAAAAGTGCGAGGGTTATGCAAGTAAATACGGTATTGATGTCTATACCATTTCAAGATGCGTCTCATTTCAACATTCATATTGCATGACTGAGTCACGTGACATGGCCGTTGAATCGTTATACCGTAAATGCGTCAGTATAACATGTTCATATCATGGTTCACATTTCATGGATGTTGATGCCGTAATGAACGTTGGCATGAACTCATGAAATGATAGCACTCTGCAGCATTGCGGTATTATCCGCCACTTTGTTAACTGGTCATATTAGGACAATGTCATATGAATTTCCTTGTTGTCAAATCAGAACGCTGCCCACTGGACAGACACCAGATTTTTTACCTTACGTTGTGTATAGTCGAACCGCCTTATTACGATGCCAGATATAACAACCCATCGGTTGTAACGACCACATTTCGGTGTACTTATGGTTGTTCTATGCTTCCCATTGAAACTGGGTTCACATATAACAAACATTTTTCAGAGCCTCCTACATTTACAACCAACACTTTCGGCAAAGTCATGGTAAAAATATGTAGCATACAGAGTGCAAAAATGAAGTTAGAACAGGCATTCTAAAGCATGTGAGAGGCACTCTCGTGCATAACTCACTGCAGTTTACTTGCGACAAAGATATTGTAGACTGCGGTGAGCACCACACGCAGATTTAAGACACTGCGAGCAACGTTGCTCACTTTTCAGGCATTTCTTCACTAGCAGAATGATAGTAAAGAAAAAAAAGAAGATTATGAGAAGCAGCATGAAAACTTGCAGTCAAATTTCGCGTGGCTGACTTTTCCGTTGCTGTTCTCTGCATCTACAACTGCCTATAGAGAACTAAACAATGCCTTCGAACACTAGAAGCCATAAATACAACAAGCGATAGCTTTTTTTAGCACGAAAATTTCACTGCAACTCTCATCTCAACAATTCCATAATGGGCCGCAAAAGGTCTTCCGCCTTTCGATTACGACAGAGACTGGTGGATCCATGATAACGACTACCGCATGGTTGCCACGTTAACAGATAAGCATCGGAAAAGAGCGAAAGCGAAGTGGGCGGTAGCGACGAACGTTCCATTTCGACTCGTCACCGACAACCTTCACGTGCGAATATCCGCTCGCCTGCTCATGCTTAAACCTCGCGCTCAAAGAACAGATCAGTTAAAAAGGGTGTCTTTTTGTCCCACAACCATAACTGCCACTATCTTGCGGTCCTTTCCTTGCATTATGGCTGGGTGCCTGGCACATTTCTAGTCAAGTGCGACATACAGGTTATCGTGACATAGCATTCTTGATGAGAAAGTGGCCAATGCTGGGTTTTCAAGAAAAGGGCAAGCAAGCCAGATCACAAATATTGTTGTGAGACTAGCCATGAAAAGGGGTGTCTTCTAGTGATGGAGTGACGGGTGGTGCAAGTGCGTCATGCTCTCGTTCGCAAGTTCACCACTGCGTCGAACTTGGGTATTGCTTGCAACTTTCATCTAGAAAATGCTGTCTAGTGAAGATGACGCGTACATCGCTGGTGTATTGCTGTGGAAAAGAATCGTTTCCTAATCGCACAGCTCTCCAGGTGCTAATTTTTTAGATACTGAACTTTACCTGAATGATCTGATGTGTTATATTTGCTGCTTTCTCAATGATAACATTACTTTGCAATTAGTGAAAGGCACTAGTAGGAAATAAAATGATGAACTTCATTATGCTAAATTAACTTGGCACACACTTCAAGTTTTTTCGTCAATCAAAACACGCCCTTCAGAACCAGAAATATTTAGCATAAGGTTAAAAAAAATAAACTTCGAAGACAAAGCTTTTAGGAATCAAACGGTTAAGGAGTTGATTAGTTTATCAATGCCAGTTACTTATGCATGAAATACGGTTAGAAATGACTGGTGGTCCCTTGTTTGTGCGCTCGTGCCTTCACAGGAGGATCTCGAACTGGCGCATGGCTTTGGGCGGGTCCTCGAGCTGCTGGCTGCGAGCGGCAAGTTGATCGTGGGGCACAACATGCTGCTCGACATCATGCACCTCCTCTATCAGTTCGTGGACGACTTGCCCCAGGTGAGTAGAGACAGTGCAAGCCGTCATAGTCATTGGCTTGCTGCAGGATGAAGGCCTCTCCCAGTGATCTCTAATTTGCATAGTCGCACAATCGCTTATACAAGTTTATGCCTTCCAATTGCTTTGTGTCATCTGTGTATCTGCTGTATTTGCATGCTTCTAGGTCAATCCTTTTTATCTAAATTTGAAATTGAAAGTTTTGGGGCTGACCTACAGTGAAAAGTAGTTGTGCCAGTTACAGCAGGACAAACGAGAAATCAAGCATGGGGTGGTTAGTTTAAATGTTTGCGGGTACTTTCCTGTTTCACCTGTGCCAAATCATTACTAAGGAGCTTGCACAGCAAGGTTCTGATGCTCGTGCTTTGTCCGGCAGCTGCCAGCGTGTACACCAGTGTTGCCGGTGTACGCTTCTTCGGTCACCGACTCGCCACTCAAGGCGTCCTCTCCGGTGATTCCAACAATGCTGACTAGATGGTGCGGTGCACACATAAAGGCTCCACCCACTGCACTAATGAAGGCTTCTTACAAGCCGTCAGTTTTCGATTACCTGCGCGCTCGCCGTCTCGTTACTTTGTCCACATCATTCTCCTCGCTTCATGGGCATGGCAGTATGTGACCATTCCCTACGATGAGTGTTATGCATGGGTACCGATATCTCCCCAAGCCCCCTCACCTGCCTGCTCTCAACGCCATTGAAGAACGCCTGATAGCTCCTCGTCTGCAATTTATGAGTGTTAGGCATTTGACTCACGGCAGCAGCCAGTATAGTAGCATAAAGGGGCGGGTGGCTAACGTGCCGATCAGCGTGGCTAACATTGTGCAGTGCTGGCTGCAGAGCGTGCGCGGAAATGCTGCCTTTGACGTACTGTACACCGCCGGCTCGTTAAAAAACCTATCTACAAAAATGGTCTCGCCAAGAAACGCCTGGTGCACCTCAGAGCAAGCTCCTCTAACATTCATTTAGGAAATATGGCGGTGTTGGTTTTTCTTTTTTTTTTTTCAGTCAGCAGTGCCACTTCCGATTGGAAGCGCAGTTCTTCCATCAATGGTTGACATTGACAAAAAATGGCATGCATAAATAGCTTTTATAAATGTGTTAATTTGATATATATTTGCATAGGCAATAATCAGTGGAGACTGGCAGGCAGTGTAACGTTGTCATGTAAATTACTCTTTTATAACTCTATTGTTGTTCATTTTGCCATCATAGGATAACCATTTGCACATATATGAAACTTTAAGATTAACTTGAGAATTTTAGCTGAAACTTGAGCATCAGTGTGTCATAACGAACTTCAAAGTGTTCTTGTAGTGGGATAAGCAGAGCGGACGGGACCGTTCTTGTGTATATTGCTCACACTAGTTCAGCAAAGCTTTCAGGAACTTGACAGGTTAAGATATCAAGTTCCTCGGAATGTAATTGAAACAATTAGTACTGATGAACGATTACGTAGGCCTTGATCAAGTAGCCCTACTGAAAATCTAGGACCCCGCAGTGCGGTGATACGAGAACTTCAAAGTGGTGTTGCCACCTGTAGTTTCTCATTGTGCATTTTCTGGCCTAACAGGCGTCATCTTACTGCATGAGTAGGTTTTTTAGTAGTGTGAAATCGTAATTTATTATTGTAAAGAACATGACTTTACTCTTTAAAGTGCATTTAAAATTATCTAATATACTACACCTGCACGTCGCGGAGTTTACATTCCATCCGCCGCGTGCGCATTTTTCATGGAGGTGAAAATGCTCGAGGCCTGTGTGTTTAGGCCAGGTGCATATTCAAGATCACCAGGTGGTCGAAATTTCTGAAGCCCTCCTCTTCGGCATCATAATGATATTGAGGTTAGGTGACTTTAAACTCCATCAATTATTATTACCCGATAGTGCTGACGGAATTGCACTTTTCTGGAGCACTTAACCGCCCGCTTCTGCTACCGTTTTCGGCAAAAGTATGCAAAGACCAGTGCCATGATGATATACATAACATAGTCATAGCGGGGCTACGTCCTTGTGTTATAATTTTAGAATAAATGGAAGCTTGTAGCTAACTCGAGGTAGCAGCTGTGTACAACAGCAGCATCTACAGGAATGCGCTCCGCCGCCCTAGACACAAGTGCGATTTCGCCTGTACTTTACAAGACACCGATGACCTGTCAGCCACAAAAGTTTGCAGTATTAACAGCACGTGGCAGAGTGACGTAAAACTGCATTGCTGCATCACTTACCGTGATGCAGCAGACAAGGCTGTCTGCCTCAGCGATTAGCAGCAGCACGTTTTGACAACACCCGGTTCTCGGATCTTATCGCGGAGGCTGTGGCCGATAATCTCAACCTTAACACCCGGCGTGCCATGGTAGGTGACGCTGTAATACTGTTTTTCGCCGCTCTGCCACTCGCTGCAGGTTCCACAAACTTCTGCGGCCGACAGTACATCGACAGTTTTACGGCGGTCTCGTCTAGTGCACCGTTGAGATGCGACCCCGAAGGATACTTTTGGCGGTGTGGTGTTAAACCTGCTATTGTTGTCAGTGTTTTGACCTTCAAGCAAAACTGTTACAAATCATCTTTTAAGAGAAGGTTCTGTTAGTTACGGATATTGTTGTAGGCTGTGGCAGCTTGGTGTAGGCTGTAGCATGCCAGAACCGAGTTTGCGAAAAAACTCGGTTCTGGCATGCGTACAAAAATGCGTGCGCACTGAAACCTCATTTTTGCAAAGTTGCATCTTACAAGAAAATAAGTTTGCTACATCCGAAAATTGGTATAAAGGTTATTCCTAAGACTGTATCTTTTGCAAGACTATTTTTTGTTTACTTTGTTATACCTGATATTTCGTTATATCTGTGTTCTCTACATTGAGGTTTAAGTGCATGTACAAATGAAGCCCGCAATGGCGCGACAACCAGATGCCTATTTTTATGCGCTGTTTTCCAATAGTTGGTGCTCTCTTGTGGTCTCATCACCAATCGGCTGTTTGCCGATTGCTGATGTTCAGTGATCTGATCTTTTTTCAAGGTCGCTTGTCATTTCGCGGGGCTAAATGTTATTGTTGCTTCTCATTATTTCACGCATAATCGTCCCTGCTTTGCCTGCAGCAACAGAAGTGTCTTGTACTTTCGGAGCTTGTGGTTGAAGGTCCAGTTCCCAGCTTGGAGTAAAAAGTTACGAGGGAGCATTGCACAATGTTATCGAAAGAGTAAAAGAAATGATACGTGAGGGCGACACACTAGCCAATCTTTGCTTAGGTCACATCGTCTTCATGGAGGAAGGGCTTGCAATTTTTATTTATCATTATTTTTAGCCACCACTCCGTTTGAGAATCATCCAGTGCAGTTCTTTCCTTTGTTTTCTAAGATTTTAACATTTTTATTATCGAGGTTATTACAGAAAATCGAAAGTATACACAGTTGTACATATACAAAATGTGGTTGTGGGGTATAGTGACCATCGGTAGGATGTTTCATAAGTTTGAGAATGGTTGAATGTAAGTTGGCTTACGACCCATTTCTATTTGTTCAAGAACTACAATGAGTTCAAGAGTATGGTGAGGGCCGCCTTCCCATGCCTGGTGGACACCAAGGTTCTCGCCAGTGACAACCAAATCAAGGTGAGTTGTTCGGCATCGCCAAAAACATTGTGGCGAGGTAACTGTGATGATTGTGGCATAACAGTTATCCTGATCATGCAGCGGTGACCTGCCACGGTAATCTTATGGTTGTGGTGGTCGGCCGCTGACCCAAAGGTCATGGGATGGAATTCCAGCCACAGCGGCCACGTTTTGGTGGAGGCTATGCGCTTGAAGCTCATTTACTTGGATTAAAATGTGCCTTTACAACCCCAGGTGGAGCTCAAATACAGTCTAACCCCTTTATAAAAAAAACGGATGTAAGAAACACGTTGGTATAAGAGACACCATTGTGTCTACAGTAAAATACAGGTTGATAAAAAAGTACATACGTGGTTACCTGCTTATAAGAGACATCTCATATAAGAGACACGAACTGCTGCCCAGAGTGCCTCTTATAAAGGGGTTTAACTGAATTCAAAGAGCTCGAATATTTGCACTGGCCTATCATTAGGTCTTGTTTACCCAAAACGTAAGCTCCTTGGACCATTCCCTTGCCTTTGTTCTGCTCAGAAAATGAAAGTCTTCAATCTAAGACCCCATTTCCAGCATCTCCAATTGGTGCCACGTCGATAACGCTCATGTTCTTGTACCGTAGCCAATGTTTTTTTTTTTAGTGATCAGATTCACCGTGCCATGGTTGTGTTGGGCAATCGCATATACCAGTCTTTTATTTGTTTGTTTTTTAACTGTTTATGTTTAAGGAGTTCTGAACCCCCCTTTGGTTCAGTAAAACTTCGATTGAAACTTTCGCTGTTGCGCTCTGTTTTCACCTCCGTTTGGGCTTGGTATAAAACGCATTCCACAAACACCAAACGCTACTGTGATACAGTTCAGCCAAATTTTGTAGCTCGTGTGTGTGGCTTGAAGGCTTTACTAGCATACTGTGACACTGCTACCTTCTTGTTTCCTCGCTCTGTACAGATGATGCCCATCCTCGCTCACTTTGCTGGGCGGGCCGCCAGCTGTATGGTGTCGGATAGATTGCTGCTCTTACTTGATAGCTGACAGAAATTGGGAGCGGTGTTCGGATCGGTGCGCATGTTGACACGGGGGGTCGCCATGTGCTGCCGTAGCTGCACTGGAGCGCACTGGAATCGCAACAAGAGAGAGCGAGCGCTTTTAGTGATTCGCGCTCAGGGTCATGACACGCGCTGACATGGCACTTCTCTCTCGTTATGTTATTCCTCCCCATGTAACTTCTAGCCCACCCGTCAGGACGAGAAAGAAAGTGGTCTTCGACTCTGGGCTTCGGCCACAAGAGTGCTTTTAATGGTGTTTAAGGTTACCTTCACAAAACGGAACGGATGAGACTCTAGGTTCCTACTTGTGTAAGTGTTGTTACTGCAGGAAGGACTTAGGTAATTTGAAAAAAAAAAAAAGATAAAAAATTCTTCAGACCACTACTATTTTTTTTCAAGATAACTAAGTATACTGTCTGAACTGAACGGGTGAAAAACAATTATTGTTCATTCTATCTTTTTTGTACGCTCTTTTTTTTTTCATTCAGTTATCAATATTCATTACTGAAAATGTCCCACAAAAAATATGTATGATCGGTTCTTGGCCAATTCCCTTGAGTGGGTATTAGCAATAATAGTGGTTTCACCATCATCAACCCTGTAACATTGCTTGTTCTTAACAACTTCAAGAAAATCTTGTGAGGATCAGTTCGTGACTCAATGAACTCTATTACTGAAATCAATCGGTGATTACTTTGAAAAGTGGTTCAGGACCACTTAAGTTGGGGAATGGATGGCACATACTGGTGTGCTACTACTACTGCCCATCAGTTCGTTGTTTTTAATGAAAACTTCACAAAACTTTGCAAGTTGCTTGAATGGGGGTTTTACAGTACGTTTTGTGCATTTTGCAAGAAAGCACAATGCCGTTCTAAAAATAATAAAGAATGAATTATTTCTCTGTTTTTATTTTTAAAGGAACTTTTGTTAAAAAGCTTCTGCATGTAAAATGGTGAAATGTCTTCTGGTTATTACTTATGTCCAGGGTATTCTTCTGAACCAAAATAATGATTGTAAGCATGAACTTTCTTTAGTTGAAAATATAAATATTTTATGACTACAATTTTCAGCCTGTTTTTTTGACGAAAAACTTCAGTGAACAATACAATTTTGGTGGAAACAACATCCTTTTCTCTAAAAAGAGTGCATAGTGTTAAGAAAGAAGTCACAAAAGTTTGCGTTTGATGGCTTCAGCGGTTAGAGCGAAAATGCCCCTTTTCTGATGCAAAGTAGTGTTTGGAGAAAATGCCATTTAAAGTTCGAGTTGGTGCAATGCAGACATGTGATCAGGCGCGCTGTTTTTGAATGCATTCTACTGTGCGCACGGACTCGCCACTTTGTGGAAGCACTTGTTAGTTATGCTGCAATATTGTGCTATAAAAATTGAAAAATCATATATTCAGTCATTTTTGCCCTCCATGACCCCCTTAAAAAGTTTTTATGTTGCATTTTGTTGTGTGAGCGCACTACATTACTCCTTCGTTTAACCGTTCCCACACTCTCTCGCAGGATTCGTTTGCCACGACAGCCCTGGGGTTACTGCTCAAGCAACTTCGCTGCAGACCATCCTGTGTTCCGCCCGTTGGTAAGTTGCACATATCCAACGAGCCCTGCAAGACTTTTTGAGCATGATCAGAGAGCACTGCCAACCGGTGATCGAGACACACAAAAACACGCATGCCAAATATTTTAGTGCAGCATGTGGCCTGCAATGCACAATAAGTTCACATATTCAACTAAAGATTGCTTTCTCTTCTCTCGACAAACGAAGCTACAGGCTCGAAACCACTACGTCCCGTGCCAAGTATCTGTTATTGCCTGATTTGTGTATGATGCACTCGGTCTTTACCGAGGCTGCCCCGGGAGGCCGCGACTTGTCCGCACGTACGTGCGCGATCACACTACGAAGCCGCGTATTTCGAGGGGGAAAAAAAACAGAAAAAGTGCTTGAGGTCACAAGGTTTGCCTGACATATTTCCTTTCCCCATGCCATCCCTCCCTGCTTAGCTTTCAGTGCTTTTCTTGGGATGAGAAGAGAGAATGCAGTTGCTGCATGTGACAAATATTTGCAACTCTGCTCGTACTGCACGGATTCAAAAAATTTTTGCGGCGGTGAATTCGTGAGGCAATAAGCTTATTTAGTGAATCCATTTCATGGCTACTTCCAAAAGTGTTGCAAAAGTGTTACTTCCAAAAGTGTTGTTTAATTCCACAGGCCAGTAGTGTGACATTGTACATAGCGAAAACTAGTGTGGCATCACAGAAAGAGCCGAATTTTCGTATTGTAAATGAGGAACGGGCAGGATTTGAACCAAGGTTCGCTATGTGGCAGTTCAGTACAGTCGAGCCCACATATAACGGCCCCACTCAAAACCAACTTTTGCTTAAAACGAACAATATCCACGTGACCATGAAAATATACATTGGTTCAATGGCACAAAATCGCATTTACAACGAACCTCTCCGAGTGCCGCTGATCGGTTACAGCGAACGGAGTCAGCGATCTGCCGACTTCCCGGGAAACCAATTTTGACCACCGATCAGGCATCGGCGAGGTGCCTATACATTCTTATTGTTAAGGGGAGATGCTACTCGAAAAAGGTTTTTTTTTATTTCATAACCCAGCTCCTTGAAATTTTAGGTGTTAGTAAAGCTTGCAGTGCTGATTTCATAACTGCAATTATTTGTTTGATAGCTATAGTAGTTCCGGAGTTACTACAACTTTGATATCAAAATATAGTGTTTTTTGTGCACATAATAAAGCTTACTAAAAATTTTCACACAGAATTGCAAAATGGCTCATTCTGCTGCACTTGAGCAGTACAATACAGAAAAGTACCTCAAACAGAAAATTTATTTGCTACATTAAAAAAAAAAATTAAAAGTACTAAATGCATATTTTACATCTCTCTATCAGTGTATCAAGTTGTGTAACAAAAAATCTGTGATGTATAATGCAACCTAAAGTAGATACTTGTATTCTAGAGTGGCTGATTAAGCTCTGTGCAAAATTTCATCAAGGTAGGACTATTTTATGCCTAAAAAAGATTGTGCACAAGATGAGAGAATTACCTCAAAATGGAAATCGAGAAAAATGCATTTGAAAGTTGTAAATATGTTTACTCATGATTACACAGTGCGATTTGCACAAAACTTGGTGATATCATAGAAGGGACACAGCTAGAGCACCTAAAATTGTCCTGCTCCATATGTGGATCCTTCTCGCCGCTTGAGAAGGGAGTCATCAAGGCGCGCTTTCTTTGCCACGTTCCGCCGATGGGCCCTTGCCTCGGCTGTTTCACACGCAGACATTCTTTCGATTCTCCTCTGGTCGCGGGATCGGCCCAGGGTGATCAGTTGATCTGGTGGGACTACACCAAGCTCCTCTAGCACGTGTTCAAAGCTTGAATGTCCTTTATTGAACCACAACACGGCCATAGCAGCTGCAGTTTCCACTGTTGTCCGGGAGGCAAACTTAGTCTTCGGACACAACAACCAGATTTTGCTGTTCAAAGATTCTGCAGCGTTTTGGGTCTTCCCTTGGATACAACGCACCAGCAACTTTTCATCTGTGAGCCGCTTGTAAATGGGAAGCACAGCCAATCCTTGAGCCTTGGTCAAGATTGGTGTGTGGTCGGGTGGGGCCTCCCCAAGCGCTTCAGCTCGCCTATGCTTGCACCAGGAAGTCGCTCCTTCTGGACAGTATCGGTGGCTGCCTGCTGTGTTGCTCGATGATGAATGGAAATATGAGGCCCAGATGGCACGATGCATTTTCAGAATATCACCTCTGTTGTTTGTGATTGCAATACGGTAATAGTTCTGCAGCTTCTGAATTGTGCCATCTGTCAGCTTTTCCCCTCGTGGAAGTCTTGTTGGCAGTTTCCGAAGTGCAGTGCCTAGACGCTTGGCCACATGGTTTGTGCACTCCTCCTTGTCCACAACAGCTTCACCATATACCTTGGCCTCAGCGACAGCGGTATAAGCTTTGCTGTCCCCATCACTGAGGAACTTGGTGAAGCGCAATGGTGTTGTGTATGAGGATGTCCTGCCCCATATGCGCAAAGCTGCCTCAGTCTCCATGGCATGAGAGGAGCACTCTGTATTTTTTTCGCAGACAGGTGTGTGGAATGCTTGCCATATTTCTTCCTCATCACCCAAGTCCTGGTGCCGGCTACAGGCAAGGCAGTAATTCGATAGCACTTCAAAATCTAGGCACAAACCAGTGTCCACAGACACAGCAGTGCCGATGCCATTGTGGCTCTTGTGCCCTCTTTTTTGCCATGTGCCATCATACATGACAGCAACATCAGCCCCATCCACTTTCTCTTTAGTTATCATCCGCGCTTTCGCCAGGTTTTCTTGCACAGCTTTGGTAGCTGCAGCATGAACTTTTTTGCCGATTGCAATAAAAGTCTTATGATGCATAGGTATTGGCAGTCCAAGAATAGCGCAAAAACGCGACAGCTGTTCATGCCCAATGCCTATTGCACGCGCAGCCACAACTACCTTCACATTGACAGCGAAGCTGTCGCGCGAGCTGCCGCTTCGGTAGCTCCAGTCATCACCGGCATCGGTGGGCTGTCTTTCCGGCAGAACACGCCGCGAACTATGCGCGGCAGAAACCACTGACTCAGGACACTCACTGTTATCACAGTGCAGCTCGAGGAACGAAGAGAGGCCCTTACGTTTACTTGCGGTGTCGCGAACGACGAGTCCAGCGGTGTGGCATGTTGGACAAACAGCACGGCTTACCATCGATGTCAGTGCGCCGATGTCACAAAATACTCCGCTCACAGAGCCACAAACACTCTTCGTTCTTTCGCTTTCGAACTGTTCAATCTTTTTTTCTGATGCGCTGATGAACTTGATCGCGGCGTCGATTTCGTCAAAGTTCCCGCAAGCCGCCGTATCCCCGCTGCCTTGATTAGGCCTAGTGGCCCGCGGCTCGCATTCTTCTACCGCTGCTTTGCGCTTCGGTTTACGTCGACGCCCTTGGTACTTGTTCTTGCTTGCAAACTTTCGTGCTCGGAAGTCTCGCTTCTTCGAGTTATCCATGGTGAACTCGGAAAAACATAGAAACGCACGGCAAGTGCCGATCGTCGCAAGCGCTCAGCGAGCGAGGCCGATCAGATGTAGCCTATGGCGGCCTCGGTAGCGTACCATGTGACCGGTAGAGATGCGCGAAGCGGCTGCAGCTTGGCTGCAAACCGACTTGGAAACGACTGTTTTGTGAAATTCCTCACTAAAATACGAAACTAGGGGGACGCCTGTACACTAGAAGGAGCCTTGATCTACACCACCGAACAAACCCCGATGGCGGACGTCATCGTGTTGCCGAGTGGCGGATTTTCAAAAATAGCCGTCGGATGCGTGAATTCGCGACTTCGGCAGCTACCTTCACTAGCGCAGATCGACTTTTTACCACTTTCTCGTTTGAATTCAGCTATGACCTTTGGGGAAATGATAGTTGAATGATCAAAAGTGATTTTAGCAGCAATATCTCAAAAGTGGAAATTTTCGCAAAAAACGCGATTTTTCGACCCGCATCTCCCCTTAAACGCCGACCCTGCCTCCGCGCCCCTATAGTTGCCGCTCTCCCCAACCGCTTTTTGTTACGCACCCCTCCGTTCTTGTCCCCCTGCTTCTCTGAGCACCCCGCATCGACAGACGAGGCTCGTGTTTTCACACTGCCACCGATTTTTCGAAGACCGGTCCGCCATCTACCCTGTTTCGATCGCTTGTACTGTCGTTGGCGTCGCTAGCCTGAACTGATTAGACCATTTGCCAACGTCATCGGCCACCGACTATATCCGATAGTCTGCGTCTAGTGCACGCGCATATGCTACCTCGACTCTGATAATTTGCGATTCCTTTCGTGTTTAGGACTTGTTCTCGCTCACTTCGCACTCGACTCATCATGCCTTCCACGCGCGTGCGGAAGTGCGAAAACGGCTGTTGATTTGCGCAGAACGAATCGCAAAATATCGAAGTTCTTGAGGCCGAAAACCCGCCGGCGCAACGAAACGATTTTTCGACCACGGCCGCCGATTTTTCGAAGACTTCTGCGCACACCGATTCAGGCGGTCATGCACTCTTTCCAAGTTTTTCTACGTGTGAGTTTCCTGGACCTTTCAAGCAAGCTACCCAACCTGCCTCCTTCCCGTGTGTTTTGGCTTTCAAGGTCGCCTTCCCTCCGCATCCTCCCCTCTCTTTATCGCAACACCTTGCCCTTCTCTCGCACGCCTGCTCACCTCTCTTGATCACAGCCCCTTCGCCCGTCTGCACCGCTCCGCGACGCCCGCCACACTGGCTCGAATTAGTTTCGTTTTCCGACTGGAAATGGGCCCAGAGCTGTTCCACGCGCTGTGACATGTGTGTCGCGTGTGCGCGTCGTGCTCGCTCTTGGTGTGCGTGTGTGATCATGATGGCCGACGGCAGGACTAGCACGCTTTTTAGTGCCGCTCAACAAAACGTTGAAAGTGTGATTGCTTGGCTTGAGCGTAATCAGCGCTTAGGTGCCGCGTTGTGGAGCGCTTGCTCGTAGCTGTTGAACACCTGGCAACCAACTTGCCACTTCCGGCGTCC